CTTAAAGATTGAAATTAAAAAAATTTATATTATATTATATTTTATATATATATATATATATATATTACAAATAAGAATAGAAATAAGCTAGGTTATCTGACGAGGACCTACGGCGAATATTTTTAAAGTTTAATACAGTTTAACCTATTTAAGTAATAGGCTTAATTTAAGTTTTTAAAAAAAATTAATTAATTAAATAAGTTAGATTTAAGTTTAAGTCTATCATATCTATTAGAAAGATATATTTAAATCATAAAATTTATAAAAATATAATAGTATATTATATATATTAAATTTTAAAATAAATAAAATTTTAAATTGTAAATACTAATTCTTTTTTTAGAGTTGTAAAGTATGTGTATATACTTCTAAGAAAATCTTATTTGTTAGAATCTTATTTGATGTCTTGTACACATGACTGATTTGTATTTACGATATTTTGATTACGTAGTTTGATAAAATAAAAATACATAATTTTATTATATATATTTAAGGTATTTAACTATTTTTTAATAATTTATTTAGATATAAATTATATGATCTTTATAAAAATATACCTATTTATATAGTTTAACAGCTTATTTATAAAATAAGTTATTAAAAAGTTAATAAACAAAAATAAACTTTTAAAAAAGTCAAATCAAGCTTAATAATAAGTATGTGACATATTAACATATTAGGCTTAAGTTTTAAAATCATTAAATAAATCAAACTTATTTATATAAAATTTAACATATTTTAATTTCTAATTACAAGAAAAGGAGTAAAAAATTAATTGTCACTTTTATATTTAAATTTATGTATATAAAAATAAATAATAATAATAATAATAATAATAATAATATAGTGTGAATTTTAACAAATAAATCTCTTTTATATATATTATTTATCATAAATTGTCATGTGATATTTTATTTTGACCATTAATTTTTATAATTATGTGACAAAAATAGTTACTGTTAATTAAATATATATTAACTAGATATCTCATCTACTTTTGTTTATAAATAAAAATATTTTTTTAATCTTTATAATATTACACTAATTTTTTACTAAAAATTATAAAATATAATATAATTAGCATACTATTTCTATTAAGCGTTATAAATTTTAGTAAAAATTTATTATATATTTTTATACTGTGCAACATTCCATATATTAAAAAAAGTAATAAAAATAAAAGAACATATTATTATGTACCTCCCATGAGCTTAGGGATAATAGAACAAATTTAAAAATTAATTTTAGCCCAATTGTTTTTGTGTTTGTTTTAAAAAATGATTTTTATCTGTTGACTAAAAATATTTTTAATCAATACAAAAAAAATTTTGAAAGTTACGGTGACAGGACAGTGTTTGTTAGCATTGACTGAGTAAGTTCACGGGAATTTAATCTCAGTAAATATAAAAGCAAATATACCCTATATTTATCTAGAGAGAAAAGTTTGATAGGAACATAGCCTTCAAAAAATTATCATTTAAATATCACATTCAATGTGTCGGCTACTTTTAATTTACATTTACCTGCTTTAATATTGTTCCATTGACCAAACCCATCAACCAAAGTTGTACTGTAATTGGTTAATTGACTCCAAAGACCTTGTTGCCTACTTGTGTGATCATATCTCTGACCATTAGATCTAATAACCATATATACATACCAAATCAAATGGACCTTTAATTTTAAACCTTTTCTTAGTGGTGTACTATCAGTGCCAACAATATTGTAAAGCATATGTTTAAAGATATTAGTACATTAAAGATCATTTTTCTATTACATTTAAAAGATGCTTTGATAATAAAAAAATATTTGACCTTAAGAGTTTTGAAAAAATTACATGTACTTATATTTTTTCCATAATTGATGTACTAAGGAAAGGTAACATATCCCCTTCTAATAAATTTTCACCCGCCACTCCGTTGAAATTTCAACCATTGACATTTTAAGTGTAGAATTCCAATTTTAACTATCGGAGATAAGATACTAAATTTATGAATAATGATTATGACATTATACTTGTTGATGACAAAATGATTATTAGAACTTTCATTTAGTTACCACGGAATTCAGTATTTAATTTATAAGATAGATCAGCTAATTTATATAGTATCTAAGTATGTTCACTTGTTAATATTTTTTTTTTCTATGACGTTAATATTGCACCTAAATGATTTGATGCCTAACTCTTGATCAAACAAATTTTATAATTATCTTTAAAGAAATAAATTCTCACTTTAATACTTGAAAATGTAAGGATTCTTCATTCTTAATTTTTCGATTTTATAAATTTTTTATTTTAATAATTGGTTTTATAAAAAATTTATTTATTTATTTATTATTTTGCAGAAAATAATTAAAATAGACATTAATTGTTTCAAAATTTTAATTTATTATAATTATTTAGCATTTTAAAAATTAAAAAATGCCTTAATTATTTTAAAATATACTAGTAGTAAAAATTTATCATTAAATTATAAATTATCAAACTGTTAAGAATAATGATTTTTATAATAATTATTATAAATATTACATTTTTAATCATTTTAATAGTTAATAGTATAAAAATTTTACATTAATAATATATTAAAATTAAAATTTAAAAAAAAATTGCATAACATGATCATAATAAAGATTCTTATAACCAGCAAACATTAGTTAAAAATTAAAAATAAAAGTATGTTCTTAAAATATTATTAATTGTATTATAAAGTCTTTATTAGCACTTATCTTATAATAAAAATATTTCTTAACCTGTGCAGCATTGCACAATTAGTAAACTTTTATTTAAAATTACTGATAGTATTAACGTATCTAATTATATTTAACTTTATAGCTTTTATTAAAAATTACTATATATAAAGTTTTATTTTGTACAATATTGTACTACTTAAAAAATCATAATAAAAAATTTATTAACTTTAATTCTTGAGATTAAGTTTAAGTATTTATAAACCAAAGTTGTATTAAAAATTATATATTTATTATATTAAAATAATAAAAATATAATAAATAAATTTTTAATAAAATCATACTTTTAATCACTTTTTTTCTTAAAAAGAAAGATTAAGGAAGTCAATTGTATATTGCAAAATGTCATCATTACATAATCATGGAGAAATTCCTGAGCTCGGGCAAGACAAAAAGCCTGATTCAAGGTCTTATGTAAGTATTATGATCATGCTCTGTAAAACTGGTTACTTTTAATATTAGCCATTATACGATGAACAATGTGAACAAAATATTTAACTACTTTCCTGTGCATGTTGGATAAAGACCATTTCTCCCACAACGCGTCAAAAAACATGGCAGAGAGAAAAGCATAGCAGTGGTTGGAAGCGTTAGAGGGGAAGAGATTATAAGTGCCAAAAAAATGGCATTCACTGTGCCCAATTTCTGCATTTAATGAACCCCGCAAACAGTGCCTCTGAATTAGTGTTTTCCTTTGGCAACATTGGAGTTGGTGGCACTGCTACACTAACTATATGAACCATCATTAATTAACTGCTTGATTAAAGAGTCGAGACTCCAAGCTTAGAGCATTGTTTGTCATCTACGGTGTCAGCAATTAAACAAAGGGGTTAGTTCCCAATATAAGGTTAATAAATTAAGATTATCTTTGATTTAGCCTAGGGTTTTGGAAACCCTATGTCTTCAACACTGGTCAAATGTTATAACTTTTTCAATCATTCTCATAGAAAGTAGACATAATTTTGAAGTGTCAAAAGCCATATTTAATCATGAACAATTTTCAAATATCTTTTTAAATTTTTTTATAAATTACAGTTAAATAAAGAAAGTATCTCACTCTATTTATATTTTTAAGATATTACTTATATTTTTTTTATTAATATTAAGAGAATTGTTAAAACATATAACAAAATTCTTTAATTAATATTTGTTTTATAAGAAAGACAATATATTGGAATATATTTGAAAAAATGTTTATACTTTAGACTATTAGTAGATATCTGTGTTTCAGTGTGTACTTAGATACTAAGTAAAAGTAAATTTTATCGAATGAACAGTAAAATTATTAATCTTACAGTAAAAAAAATATTAATTTTATTCTATCCTCACATACAAATGCTTAATTTTAAATTCTCATAATTAATATTATTAATATTTTTAATTAATAAATAAATAAAATAAATTTTCATTTCCAATCATACTCGTAGTTTTTATTATTAAATCTCTTTCTTTCTTAAGTATAATAAAAATGAGAAAATTTAGTGAAACTCAATACTATATGCTTTATATTCAAAATATCACTTATTTAAGATTTGAACTAAAAAAATTATTAAATATACTTAACTTTAATAAAATATTCAAGCACACAATATATATATTGTTTTGTGAAAAAATAAATTAAAAAATAAATTTTTAAATGAATTAATCCAGCAATCAATAAATAAAGAAGAAAACCAAAAAGTGGGAAGATTTTTCTCACCCTCTATCAAGTCAATAGCTTGTGTGCTATTTTTGTTTTTTTACTCTAGTCCACGGAACATTACAAAAATGAAACCTTGAGAAATAAAAAAAATGCAACAAAGAAAAGTATTGTCGTATAGCTAAGCATTCCCATTTAAGCAAGAAAATGAAAGACCATTGAATAATTTACTTGAGGGAATAATAAGAAAGAGTATTTAAATAGTGAAGAAAGAGAAGGTGATAGCGAAGAGAGTGGGGGGAAAGGAATCACACATGAGGGTGTCTTTCTCTGTCTAATATTTTTTATCCCGTCCACTGCGCGGAAGGGAAATCCAAAGTGACCCTATTTTTTGGTACAAATTTGTGGGTTTTGACTATAGATAGAGAAAGAGAGAGAAAAAAACACCTTGTGCTGTATCTTCTTCCTTCACCTTCTTCTAGTGTCATTTTCCGAGATATACTCTCGAGGAAAACAAAACCCAAATCCACCTGTTTTCCTTCCCATGCCTCTCTGGAATTTTTTATTACTTATTTTTTAATAATTTTTCTTTTTTATTAATTTAATTCCCCCTTAAAATTCCATTCCTTCTACCTCACTCACTGCTAGCTTAGCAACACTAGCTCCCCTATCTCTTCCTCTCTTTCTGTCTCTCTCTTAATTACCTCTCACCACATTCACAGTCCCTTGAGCATGTTTGTTTCTTGGTTGTCAAAGACTCAGTGTTCCTTTGCTTCTTAGCTTAATCTCTCTCTCACCACCCTCTCCTCCTTCCCTTTAAAGCTTCTTCTCCTTGAGTTTTTAATAGCTCAAGTTTGCCTTTGAGTTAGCTTTCCAGATTCTTTTCCAAGGAAAGACTAAAAGGGGAAAAAAAAAAAAGCAAAAGAGAATTAGGTAACTGAACAAAACAAAGGATTATATTGCACACTCCCTTCAGATTGTGAATATTGCACCTTTAATTGCTTTGTCTCTCCTCAGTAGTTTAAGAATCTGATCATTTTAATAAAAGGAAAGGAAGCTATTTCATATATATATTTTGTGACCATCAAGCTATCCCATAAAGAAGATGACATTGGAGGGGATTTTCATTGAGCCCTCTTCAACCACTGCTCCTGATCTCTCTCTTCACATTAGCCCCCCAAGCATCTCCTCTTCCTTGATTTGCAATAACAACAACAGCATCACCCTTTCATCTGTTGAACCTCAAGGTAATTTTAATTTCCCTTCTAGGACTGTGTCTCAAGCCCACACAGAACTCTCTCTGGGAAGGAATTTCACTTCTGGAGGAGCAGAGGAAACACCACACAATCCTTATTATCAAAGCCAAATCCATTTCCATCACCACCTTCACCACAACAACACTACTAGTAACATTAGTACTACAACAACAACCAGTAGTAGTAGTACTACAACTCCCTTGAATCACATAAACTATGGAGTTTCATTGCTTGATGTGTCATCATCAGAAGGGTTGAGGCCAATCAAGGGGATTCCGGTGTATCATAACCGTTCATTCCCTTTTGTGGCCATGGACCATCATGCTAGAGACAAGGATCACCATCACAAGATGTGCTTATATCATCACATGCCTTCTTATCCCTCTCTCTCCTCTTCCTGTTCCCCTCCTTCTTCTTCACCTTCACCTTATGTTGCAGCGAGTATGGATCCCATGTCCCTCTTGAACAATAGGGCAGCTACCACCACCACCACAAGGTTTAATGGGTTTTCTTCTGATGCTTTCAAATCCCATCCATTGCACCAATATGGGGTTGGCACTTCTGAAGCCTCTTCTGGGTTAATGAGATCAAGGTTTTTGCCTAAGCTTCCCAACAAGAGGAGCATGAGAGCACCGAGAATGAGATGGACAAGCACCCTCCATGCTCGATTTGTTCATGCGGTTGAGCTTCTCGGTGGCCATGAAAGTAAAGATCTTTTATTTTATTTGGCCCTTTCAATTTCGTTTTTTCAATCCCTTTCATTTTTTTTAATTAAGTTGACTTCATTTTTAATTTGCTACACGTCTTCTTTGTTTTGGTTAATGAATTGAGAGTTAGCATTAGGTATTTTCTTTCCTGTTTTTTTATTTTCTCAAGTTTTTAGGCTTTTAGCTAATGTATTTAGATGGTGAATTTTAGGAGCTACTCCAAAATCAGTTCTTGAGCTCATGGATGTGAAGGATCTAACATTAGCTCATGTCAAGAGTCATTTGCAGGTATAGTTTTCAATTTTCTCTCTCTTACTCTCTCTCTCTCTCTCTTGTTCATGTGGGGCGGTGTTTGTCTATCCCAACGGCACGGTAACCGATGAAGAAAGCAGTGAATGTGGGAGTGGATGAATTTAAAGTCTATAGTCAGCTGAGTAGAGAGGCTTTAACGTCTGAGAAGACCAGACAGAAAACAGCTTCTGCTTTGAAAGAGAGAGAACAGACAAAGATCATCATTTTCCAATAATACACCCTCTCATTACAACCTCATCAAACATCAACCTCGTGATTAATGAGGTAACCCACCCAGACAATCCCAGAAGCCAACAATTACATAGAGAGAGAGAGAGAGAGAGGAAGTTAAGGGATCTAAATGGGAATCGATCTTATATTCCTTAATTTTTTTAAAATAAAAAAAATTGGTTTATTATATGTGTACACCACACGCACGCTAATGGTTTTCTTCCAAGCATGGAAAAGCCTTTATAAAATAATGCCTTGTTTTTGTGTATGACTTCTTCCCAGATGTATCGAACTGTTAAGACCACTGACAAGCCTGCAGCTTCTTCAGGTAATTCGTCTTGCTTAATCTTCATCCATTTCCCCCCCATTTTTAGCATCTTTATCTTTTTTCTTAAGCATACACAAATTAAATATATATTTTTCATATAACATATAATAATGGAAAAAATTGTCATATTTACCTTGCTCTTTTTAGACCATACAATTGTTTTATTATTGTTTTTAATTTTACCGCAAACTACTCCTTTATTTCTTTCACCCTTACTCAAACCACAAACCCTTTGAAAAGGGCTTTTGCATAGATATCAGACATTGAATAAGACTCCACATTAGTCCAAATATGGTATGAAGGTGCATGCATGCATATATGATAAATGAATGCATATATGAAGTTTTGAAGGTTTCGGTTTTGTAGGCCATTCAGATGGGTCAGGAGAGGATGACTTGTCTCCGGTGGGGAGCACTGTTGACCGCGGTGGTCTCCGGCAATTCCCCGAACTCAGAGGGCGGCCGGAGCGGCCACCACAACAAGACATGGACTACTCGTCAACCACAACTCTATGGAGCAATTCTTCAAGGTACCCTTATTACCAAAATTCTTTTTTCTTTTATGATTTGAGACCATAGATTAATTAATTTGTTTTATATCTATGTGTAGTCTGCAGCCTGCATAGACGTACATGTTTGTGATTGTGCTTTATTTGCTTTTGCCTTTGCATGGTATTGTTGGATATGAATGCAATGCAAACCCACGTCCACCGGATTCTTTTTTATGAAGAATAAAAAGGGTTCTTGTGTCAGCTTTTGCTTTGCTTGTGTTTGGTTGTTTTCTTTCTTTTATATATCTTTTGTACCTCAGCGAATTTTTTTCGCCTGAGATGTGTATATATGTAGCTTTATGGGTATATAATAAAGGAAAGCTTCAAGACATAATCACACGTTAATTAGGATAAAAGCAAAGCACCCGTAGCTGCATGCACTTTTCCTTTTCTCCTTTGGAATTTGATCTATAGATTAGTAATATGTGCTTATTAATAACTAATAAGGTCCTCTTAGTAGCTACCATTAACGCTTATTTGATCAAGACCTAATTGTTATAGATGTAGTTCTTATTCTCTCCATCAGTAGATCCACCAAAACCCAAATAATAAATCCCTCCTTGAGTGTCATTAGCATCAAATATTCTTATTGACATTGTATATTGAAAACATATTATATAGTATTGGAGGAAATGGGCATATTCTACTTCAGGTGTTTAAGCTTAAATGGAGTTCCTTTGTTTTTTTCTTTTTCTACTAGACCCTGTGAGGCCTGGGAGAGGCCCCACCATGGTGCCTATTAGAGATTCCTATCAGGAGGTCTTGGGAGAGGAGGAAGAAAAAGAATAGAAATAAATACTGTTTTGTAAGAGGGTGTTGACTGTTGAATTCCTTTATAAGTAAATGAGTGAGATAGACTTACGACACTCTTCACTTTTTATTCTTGAAAATATTTTCTAAACGAAAAAGTACCACAAATTCTCATGGAACACCTTGCACCAGCTCTAGTTTGAGTCGTAAGTAGTTATGAAATAAAAAATAATGAGAATTAAATAAAACATTTTTAAGAAATTTCTAACATGTTAAATCTGACTTTCTAGTTAATTTTTTTTTAAAATTACACTCTTAAAGTGGCTGTCGCCCGTCAGCGTAATTCTTATAACACTAAAGTAACTAGACTAAACTATGTGGAGATTGAGTAAAATTAATAAAATAATAATTACTGATTCATAAAAAGGATGGAAAAAAAAATACACCTGTATTATGATATTTAACAAAAACGAGAAGCAAAAACCTAAAGGCGATAAGTTGAATCTCATGCATGCTAGTGAAACTTTCAATGAAACAAGGGAATTTGTGTGTTACATAATATATATTATATAATTAGAATATAAATATTTTGTTAGAAATATGTATTGTATTGATTTTTTCAAGTATACTATTGAGAATGAATAGAAAGTACAACATATGACACGTACCTTTATGCTGTGACTGTGAGCACGTAACAGCTCAAAATAAATAGCAAAAATGCCATTTTCACAGTTCAAGAGCTGTAGCTTATAAGTGACCATATCTCTAAATTTGTCTGAACTTTAACCTACCAGTACCTATTTGTACATAGATTTATTGAACATTTGAGTCAACATAAAAGCACGAATTCCTTTTAAAGTAAATAAATTATTATTCAAATGCCATGCCAAGGTACCACCCAATGTCATGACCTATGAGCTTGAACTTTTTAAAAGCTAGAAAACCAGAAAGCACAGCCTCTTTTGTTGAATAATGTGGAAGCTAGTCTGACTGTGTAATGTCAAGTCATGAATAATTTTTTTTTCTAGAATAAAAAAAATACTGACTTAGTTTCACATATAAAAAATTTGATACCAAACATCAATAGCATATACAAAACTAATTAGCGCCCCTCCTGGGCTTATTATCCCATTTTGCTGTGGCTGCAAAGAAATATATTAAAGATCATGGTCTTCAAACTTAACATTCATTATATATTGAAGATGTTTATTGTGTTCGACTATTATTTTAATTAAAAGAGAACATTGAATCAATTAAAGTGCTTTTTGTAGGTAGTGTGTTTTCTTTATTGGTTTTAAAACACATATGTTCCATGATAATGTAAAATAAATTGTAATGCGAATATATATAATCAATCATTAAAACATGTTTTCCTCAGTTTAAATATCGCTTTTTAGGACGACTCGTGTGCTATTACTTCTCTCTAAGTGAAGGATGCGCTTTGCTAAAGGTTGAAATAGAAGGTAAATGATATATAATTGTACAATAAATGTGGTGTAATGGAGAAAGATAAGGGAAAAAAACTCTTGTAATAAAAATTTGTTATGAAAATATTATAACTCAAATTAAAAGGAAAAAAATGCTTGCAATTACAAATTATTTGAAACATATGGAATACATAGTTAGGAGTTTGATGCGCATTTCTCTCTGTGTGTGTATATATTTATATAGTTTTACATCATTCATATTTGCTACGCAGCACCATACAACAAATATATAGCTGGTAATTAATTTGTTAAGTATAGATCATGCAAAGTGATGGAACTAACACAATTTTGTTGTTCATTTTGGACCCCCTGATGAATCTCATGGACTGGATCAGTTGTAGAGAGCCATGGCTACGAACTAATTCTAACGACATAGATGGTCTCAGATCACCTGTCATTCAGTCACAAACAATAACAGGAGGGCATCAAATTCAGGTACTTCATCAGAGATAATTAATATTTGTTTGTTTAGTCATTATTTTATTTCTCGTTTACAAGTGTTTGTTACCTCTATATATGTGATGTTAGCTCAATAATAACAAACAAACCTGCAGGAGTGTGATTCAACCCAATTCAAGAACATGTCAGGTTCTAATTTGGAGTGCAAGAACCCAAGTTTGGAGTTCACGTTAGGAAGACCAGATTGGAATGGCAAAGAACAAGCCTAATTTTGATTGATTCCCTCATTGTCTTTTTTATTTTGCACTTTATTTATAATTCATGGTGACAACTTCATCATCATTTATGAAATGAAGAGGTGGTGTATTTATATAAATTGGTGTCTTGGAGAAAAAAAAAAGACCCTACATAGTTCTACTTAGCTCCTTTCCTCGGAAGTGTTTTGAGTTCATGAACAATTTTGTTTTATATTTTCTTTTCTTTTCATTTATTGGTGAGACTGAGGGAACAAGAGAGGAAGCTATAGCAACAAGACTAGCTTTATTAACATAGAGTTGAGATACAGACGCAAATGTAGAAGAGCAAGGAAAATTGAGGGGAGAGGGATCAGAACTTAAGGGAAGGAACTTCATTTTTTTGTTGAGCTGCTTGTTCTCAATTTCCTCCCTTCTGATCTTTCTTTCATGTTTCTTCAAGGTCGATCACCCCCTCTTAATTTATTGCTTTTCTCAAAACAATAATATGCTTCAAATTTAGTAGAAAATAATATCCCACGATGACGACAATATCTTATATCTCTCCCCCGAAAAGGACAAATAAAAAAAAGAAGATAATATATTCAAATAATCAAGTTATTCCAACTCTTTAAGTACATACTAGTAATTAATCTGGCTTGAGGGAAAAAAATAACCTAATCTCCACTATCATATATAAAATCACCATTTATCAATTTTTTACCTAATATAATGATCTAATGGTTAAAAACCTCAAACTTCATAAGACATGATTTTTTTTTTATAACAAAACAAAGTAATTAAATTGAAAACAGTAGAAACTCTAATTTCATATATATTTCTTCTTTCTTTTTTTTTTGGTAGACACGTATAATTTTTCTGAATTAGTCTAAGAAGTTGTAAAACTCTAAGGCGACTCTTTTTGGATTGCCAATGGCCCAATATTCAACTGGATCAAATTTAGGTCCAAAATCCCACTAGCCCTATTGCTCCATACCTACTTGCACATCAAATCATAATTAAAAGTTATGCCTTCTATTCCAAGGGTTTATATCTTAATATTTCTACAATTAAGCTACATTGAATTGTACCTCGTAAGACTGCTACAATATCTTGTCTTTCCTTCCCTCACATCTAAAACTTGGCTAGCATCGCTGTTCTAAGTACATTGTTTATTTTCTGTTGAGTGCTTAATTAAGTCTCTTGGCAAGTACATCATTTTTCATTCTCAACTTCAAGCTCGTTATGTTGCAACAGACTAACCACCAATCTCTTTAAACTGATCATCCTTAAGCCTTTCAGGTGACACCAAAAGAACAATATATATACACACACACACGAATTTGCTATAGAAAAACTAGTGGATCTATACCAATAAGATAAAACTTCTGTTTTCTTTCTTTTTCTTTTGCGTGCAAAATGTTAATGTAACATTAATTAAATGTTAAAAGTCTCCAGATCCATTTCTAAAAATTTTACCATTGTATCAATTCAAACTGTTAAGTTTGGTTAACCTTAATTACTTCCTCTAACCAAAGCCCGGAATGGAAGATAATGAGTTAAGGATGTAAAGTACAAAATCCAAGTCAGAGTATAGTATTCGTTTAAATTATATATTTTTATTTAAGCGTGTTTTTTTATTAAAAAAAAGAAAATTGATTATCCAACTGTGACAATCAAACTGATGCGTACCAGTTTCAAAGTGATGAGAGCAAAATACACAACGAAGATCCTGTAGAATAGAGAGCATAATCCTGGTCTGCAAATTGTGTTCCGTGAGTTTATTCTAGATAAAATGTACTAATAATGGATCAAGTACACTAATACTACAAACCAAGGCTCTCCTAATTAAACTTTGTATAAGCGTTTCATGTTTCCATTTGAATTCACAAAGGTTCAGTTTGAGTAAACCTATTGGAGTAGTAGTTATAAAATAAAAAAAATTAATATAAATAAAAAGTTAGTTCGAGTGCATGATGAAGGAAGGATCAATAATAACTATGTGGGCCCATCTGACAATAGGGGCATAGCCCATTTGAGGCCTTAGTCTGTGTTTTGTTTGGGCTATTTTTATTTCTTTTTACCATTCAAATTTTTAAAAAAAACTATGTGGGGTAAATTACATATTATGTTGATTCTAGAAGTTCTTCATCTTCATAGATCTTACCCCGCGCAAATTTTTATTTTCTGTTTCCACCCTTGTATTTCTCTAACATATATATTCATTAAGCAAATACAATATTAAATATTATAAAATATATAGAGTTTTTAGATGAACTCCCGAGGTAAATTTGGTTATAAGAAATCTTCATATTAATCTTTCTATTAATTCCGAAAAATAATTGTTATGTATCTAATTGTACATTTTTTTTTTCTAACTTGAATATATATGCCGTGTCCTATACTTCGTAAAATCAATGAAAACGATTAGACCTTTCAATATCTCTCCCATTACATCTCGCAAAGACAAATAATTTGATAAAGAATAAAACACAAATTGGCGACTATAAAAAGACTATATGCATTTCGCAAAAGAATATCGAGATAAGAATTTTACATTGCATGGTGAAGACATAAATTGCTACAATCGAAACCGATAATTTGTTGAAAGCTTTATGTACTTTCTTTAATCTTTTTATCTACATAAGCAAAAGACAATTATATTCCTTCTCCCGATTTCTGCTTTAATTTTTAATGGTATAATTTGGTTTTTCTTTTTGGTCCGCTATAATTTAAAATTTTAAAAACAAAAACCAAAGACACGAAAATGAAGCTGGATGTAATCCGGATCTCAATTCTACACCTGGCTTAATTGCACCATTTCAGAACATTTTCAAACATACACTCCAAATTGCACCCCCAAAATGGCAGAAGAAGAACCAACAAATTAATGTTACAGTATTACACACTACTTATATAAAAACAATAATAAACTGTTATGATAGGACCTTGAACTCAGGTTTGATAAATGTAATGTCTTCGAATTTTCTATATGTAATTAGTAGCCGCGCTAATATTGCATATACACTGTCGCTTTCACAAAAGCATAAATTACAACACTTTCCATGATTACATCATTTACCACAGCAGTCCAGTTTCATGGATGTTATAAGTTGTACAATAACACGTAGCAACATAAGCTAAAGAGGGAGAACAATGGCAAAGTCTTTCCAACTTGAAACATCATACATAAAACCAAGAGTTTTATCAATTACTATGAGCTCATTCGTACAAAACCGAACCGTGGCATTTTTATCAACACAAAACATGCATGCTAGTGACAGCCGTCGAAACCAACCCATGAGCAAGACCAAGGATAAGACACTCTACCAATCAACAGAAGAAACTTTTGTCATTCCAAAACATGCACGCCTAAGAATCCCAAGAAGCTTCCATATGTGATCGGCACCTAATCTGAATCGTTGTGTACAAGGTTGCGGGTACCCCAAGCAGCAGAGTAAGTAGTAATTGCAGAGCCAGTCACACTCAATGACTGTTTTGCAAATCCAAGGCTCTTTCTAGCTACCAGCCACCCGGAATAAAAGAATCCAATCCATCCTGGCTCGTATCATTTTCATGTTCAGACAATATTACAGTGTTAGCCCACACAAAAAAGAGATAATAAAAGAGCAAATCAAGTCCTAAAAGACTCTATCCTCGAAAAGGTAAAACATAGTTTTAGATTTTAGTGTGGAAGGGACCAAATCTATTGCCATCATAAAGTTAGAGATGCCGCAGACCCTCTGCAGTGGCCAGCATCTCCACAATACTGGTCTATAATTTAGTTATAAACTAAGGTGCATTTGGAAAAACTTATTCTTTTTATTTTATTCCAATAATTTTTATGATTAAATTTATAATATAATAAAAAAATAAACACTTAATTAAGCTAAATAGTCAAATGCACTGTAACGCAATCTTTAATCCCAAATAATCTGAGTCTTCCTATTTCAACTACAAAGGGTGGCAATTCAATTAAAATTAGGAATCTTGTCTGCTGTAAAGTTCAATTTAATCATACATTTGTTAAAAAAAAAGGTGTTACTTCATGCCCCAACCTGAACTATTGGGATTCACATTGCACACAACCAATCAAAATCATCATAACAATTTAATACCAACAGCTAATATCAGGTCCAAACAGAGTGTTACCTGTAGTAATCAAAATAGCCACAACAGCCCAAAATGTAACAGTGGAAATAACAAATACGGTTACTGATAGTGCTCCAATATATATAGCTGTCACAAAAGCAAAGAATAGAGCCAAGAATCCTCCAGCTACAGCTAAAGAAATTAGAAGGGAGACGAAGATAGCATTTATAGTTGCAGCGACAAAGAAAATCATAAAGGCAAGAAGTCCAGCAAGAGCAACAAGAGCAATTGTCCCAACCTGCAGCAATTCCGAACACAAATCAAAAGCCATTCATCACAAACATCAGACAAAAATTAACAACTAAAATCAAACCCAACTTTATTTAATTACTCCTTCCAGACATCACGTAATACTAATGCAGATACAACAGCAACAATTAAATTTATTCCGTTTGGTGAGTCGGATACACAGCGCTATTGAATTTGGTAAAAAATAATACTAATGTATATATCTTGATAAAATAATTAGTTTTTATTTATTATTATGATAAAATGAATTGATTTTACTAAAATATTGTTATTAAACGATTTTTTTTACACGTGAGTACACAATAAGAACTTACTTATTATAATTTTTTTATTAAAAATTACGTGATATTACAAAATCCAATACGAAAATAACATTAAATGCTATCATTTTCAATAAAAACTTACACCTTTAAATATATGTTAAAAAAAATTGTTTATTGAAAATATTAAAATTATTATATTAATTAAATGATAACATTTAATTTTAAAATTATTTTAGTTAAGTTTTCAAGACAGTCGATGATTCAGTCTAAACCAATTTTATAAAATATAGGATTTTAACTTTAAATTTAGAGCTTAGATTAATTTTTATAAACTTTTTAACTAAATACCAATCAAGCTCTTTGCTAGGTTTATTACTACTTTTAGGAGATCAAATTGAATTTAAGTTCGTTTAACTTGACTCGTTAAAGTTCATCATCAGCAATGAGACGGTCTGAATGGCCTGGGTAGCGGATTTTAACAGCTCTAATTTTAGCAATTAGCTGGGAAAATTTATTCCTAATAAATAATTTTTTTAAGAAAAAAAGTAATTCATGCTTAACTTGAGATAAATAAAATATGTTCAAATAATTCTAATATGAGACGAGAAGAAGATGAAAGAAGCGGAGGCAATGTAGAAGGTCAAAAGCTACGGTCACGAGTGATGCTATTCCTACATTCAAATGTTGAATTGAATTATACGGGTGTGTGTGTGTGTTTGTATAGAGAGAGAGAGAGAGAGACTAACGGAGATGAGAAGTAGAAATCGGAGGGGAGAGCCTTGGCGAGACCAGAGGAGAAGGTGTCGAGCGGAGTTTCTAGAAGATTGGGGAATTAGAGGGACAATCTTAGAAGGTTCGTAGATGAGACGGTAAACGACGTCGTACAAGCTGGCCTTTGTCGTCTTCTCCGTCTCGAATATCACTTCTTCTTCTCCCTTCGCCTTCTCCGCCATCTTCACTCTTCAGAATTCTGATGCAACTAACTGAAATGGTCAAAATACAGACTATACTCAACACGAGAAAGAGTAGCTATGGTCATTCTATCACAAGTGCGTCCCTCGTTTTAGTCATGCTTCATTATTTTATTAGTAGTTGAAGAATATGCAAAGAATTTCATTTTAATATGATGTTACTGGTGTCAAAAATATTTAAATTATTAATTATTTTAAATAGACTTATTATGATAATTAATAATTTTTAATTTTATGATAAATTATTATTAAATAATAATATAAAAATTATATTATTAATATATGTTAATTAAATTCGTATACAATTTATAAGGTTGAACTTTCGTCGTGTGAAATTTTGTGATTAATATTTAAAATATTTCAATGCTTAACATTTTTTTAAAGTGTATAAAATTGTCTTTTATTGTTTTTTTAAAGTAAAAATAGACATATTATGAATTGAATATTAATCTTATAATCGTTTAATTGAATTAAATGAAAAAAATCGTTGAAGAATTGTTTGAGAATTAAGATTAAGAGAAAATGGGCCACTCTGGCTTTCAGAGAAAATGTGATTTGTGCATAAATGTAAACACTTGCATTCATTCCAGACTCAGTGACTCATATTCTTGTCTGAGAGGCTCTTCGTTTGCTTCTTTCTCGCAGCCTCTCTCTATCTTTTGTTCCAGAACAAATTGTAAATAATTTTTTAAGTTTTAACTCTACATTTATTAGAATATTTGTGTATGAGAAAACTTAAATTGAAAATCTTGAAATTGAACCCAGACTTATTTTAAACCCATGACAATTTAGAATCTTATAAAATTGGTCCTTCAAAATAGCAATAAGTGAAAAAAATGGTTTTGTCTTGTAGTTAATTTGGAATTGCAGCTACAATTTTGTCGTTTCACTTTTGTTACATTGTTTTGGGTCAATTAATTTTTGTTACATTTAAAGTGGTATTTTTTTAATATACTTTTTAAGATTGATCATGTGGGCCCAGTCCAAGTTTAATTTCCCTCGATTAGGTTATTGGGGTTTTAAGAATTTATTCCAATTCATTTTTTCTTAGTTGACCAAAAACATACACGCGCGTGCGCAGAAAAGCTATATATATTAAAAGTTATTTTTAAAATTACAATTATAAATGTATAATTTTATTTTACATGCAGTATAAGTTTATTTAACAGTTTAATTAATAAAATTTAATATATACTAAAATTTGTCATTATTTATATAAAACCAACTAATTTCATTTTTATCATTATTTTTTTTTATAACATGCCGTTATCATATCACTTGCTAATATTAATATCACGAAAGGATGATAATAACGTCCATTGTTTTAACATACATTAATATTATAGAGCATTTCAATTTAAAGTATTATGTAAATTAGGTTGAATTAAGCTAATTATTCAAAACGTGCCTCGACCTCAACCTAAAATATAGCAAATCTAATTGCAAAACTTTATACATATATATATATATATATATATATATATATATATATATATTTTGTCAACTAATTTGAAATCTTTTTCCTGGCCTAACTAATTAATTTCATGCTGAGTTGGGCTGGTTAAGTCTTAAGCATCCTCGTTTTTAATAATTAACAAAAAAAAATATATTTTTATTAAAAGTGTAATATGTTAACTATAATAAGTATATTTGGTATTAAGGGTTGAACTGCATTAACTTCTTATATCATAGTCAGAATGTGTTAGATACCGTGACTAATTTTGCTTAATAGACTAATAGAAAAAGATATAGAACTTTAAATAATGAAGACGTTCATTGTCAAAAAGGCTTCGTCGCATTATTTGGTACGTAGAATAATTAGTGCTGTTTAAAAAAATTGCGGCAGTTTTTGGTTGTACCTAAAGGTATGCTTATGAGATGAATAAAAAAATATAAATATATTACTTTAAATTTTAAATAGGTATATAATATTTACTAAAATAAATAAACTAATATATTAAATTTATACTAATTTATTATTTCACTTCTAAAAATTTATTACTAATTTACTAAAATAAAGAATACTTGTTTGAAATAAACATTTCACTTTTTTTTTGTCCTTTCCAAAATTTAACACCTAAAGCATACCCATTAAAAATTCTCTTCTATTTTTTCTGGTAACTTTCTTCTATATACAGTTAAATTATAATAATATTTATGCCTTCAATTAGTTAGAATTTATTTTTTTTAGCCAAGTTTGGAGTTAATTAAAATAAGTTAGCTTCCCACTTTTCGGAATCATTGACTTTGGTATAAAGACTATTTTCAATCTAGTATTATCTTTTGTACTTTCTTACTAATCTTATGGAATTTTTTAAGAATATTAAATAAGAAATATTATTTTTTTTAATATAAATGTTTTAAAAAATTTGTAGAACTTTTAAATTTAAAAGTCACAATAAAATTTTTTCATAAAAAGAGGTGAGAATTAAATATTCTTATGAAGATAGAATGTTTTTTATAATATAAAATATATAATTATATCTCCTGATATTCTTAAATCTAAATAAAATTTGTGCTATATATTTTTATTTATCGTTATCGTTTATCTAAAAATCCAATTATGGTCTTATTAATTATATGGTTTATTTAAGATTTTGTTATGAAAAAAATATGTTGTTAAAAAAATAATTACTTTTTATTTTTTTTAAACTTACTTAGTTACTTAAGACCATGAAATGAATCAGAAGTTAAAAGTAAGCATATTTTAAATAACTTATAGATCTTGCTCACAATATTTATTGATGAATCAATAAACTATTTTGATTAAAAGTTATGCTAAGATGTATTAAAATTATAAATTTATAACAAAAACGAAATAACAGTTTTGTATCTAATAATCTTATAAAATAGAAACATATTTTTACCCAATATCTTTAACAAATCCTACTCATTGCTATCCATATATGATAATGAAAATTGAAAAAAAAAGGTTTCCTTTTGTCTTAGTTACTTCAAAAGGTTGAAAGTGGTTCTTCAAAGTCTCTATTTCCCTCACTAGCAATAGCAATATATAAATGTACCCTCCAGCTAAGATATTGAGAGCACAACGCAAGAGTGACAAATTGAGAGGTTCATGATAAGGGAGTGTCCACGGTTCCCCATTCAACCTCACTCCTTATTTAATTTCTTCCTTTTTTGACACTTTATCTTTTTTTGTGGGGTTATTATTAATAACAATCTCTACCTTTCCCTTTCTTATCTGTTAACATGCCCTAGCAAATAAGGACTCAAACATAGTGTTAATATATACTTGTATATCTTTTATGAGGGTAGTTGTAATCAGTATTAAGTGATGTTAATATTTTTTTCTCTCTCTTCAAATATCTAAAATCTTTTTTTTTAAATTGTTCTATTATCATATTTTTCATTTAATTCCTTTAAAATAAACATCAAATGAAATTTCAAAATATTCAAAAGATAAAATAATTTTTTTTAATATAAGAAAATTTTGATAAAAACATTACAAATAATTCATTCAAAAATATAAAAAATGGTGAATTTTTTAAGAATTCAAAAACTTAATTATACTTGTACCCGATCTCGTTACTCACATTTTAATACACTCAAATATATGTATTTATTTGATAAATTAATAAAACATGAATGCTATTATAATGTTAATATTAATTATTAAAACTAATAAATTAGAGCATTAATTACAAGTAAAATACGTAACATAAATATAAAAAAATTAAACATGGTATAATTCTTAATTATAAAAGTATTATGAAAAAATTGTTTAAAAAATATTTAAATTTTTTAAAACTTTTGTTGTAAATATAATACATCTGTTATTCGGACATAAATATGATCATATAAAAGAATACTTATAATTTCGTTTTTACCTATAAATTGTTTTATAAGTAATTAATCATATTTACATTTGAACTTATTTAACACATGTATTTTATTTACTATAAATATTTTTTATAAAAAATACATCCATTGACGTTGAATAACAAATTTAAATATTTATATTACTTAATAATTTTTATAAAAAAAATTTATTAATCTAAATTTTATCAAATAAATTAATTTATAAAAAAAAAAATTTTAAATTTATTTTATTATTTAATTTTATTGTATAATATATATTAAAAATTAAATAAATATTAACTGTTAAATGTTAAAATTTTAAATTATATAATATTAAATATACATAATAATAAAAAAAATATTATATAAATTAATAATCAAATTAATGAATATTATATTTTATAAAATTTTATTAAAGAATATAAATATTTGAGTTCGGCGTTACCGAACTCATTCTTTTAATAAATATCTATTAGATATGGATTCAATTATCTATCCTACCTGTTAGTCATAGATACAGATAACAACTAGGCTAGGGTTTGCTGTCTCTTACCATTTAGCCCATATTTGCATGTGACGCCTATACAGCACAACGTTATTTTGTACATATATAAAAAAGTGACATTTGATTGCTTTAAACCAAAAGTATTTTCGTGGAAAAAAAATAATTTTATTATTAAAAAAATGTTTAAAAATAAAAATACAGATTTTCGTTTTATTTCCATTATTCGAACTATAAACTTATTTTAAAATATTGTATCTTAATTGCATTCTATATCGAAAATTAAATTCATAAAAACTCATTACATGTTTAATTTATTCTAGGAAGACAACTCTTTTTTCTAACTTCCTAGGATTGTTTTCTTCAAAATCAAAGATGCCATTACCCCACATGGCCACATATATTCGAGGTTTACATTAAATTCCAAAATTTAATTTCTTACATTACACCCTAATTATTTTCTTTACACATTAATAATAACATATATTTAATAAAAGAAAATGAAGATGAGAATGTGGCCCATGCAGCAGAATCACAATTCACACCCCATTGATGACAATACAATGCAGCCTCCCAATCTTTCCTCATCAACAATGGTCATTACAACCCGGGCTTTCAGATACCTGGGCCCCACATCCATGTGCATGTGCGTTACTCACACACTCTCTGTCTCGCTTTCTAATTTCTATGCTCTTCATCACCATTCTCTGTAATCTCCCTTTCTCTCTCCATTGCAGACCCAAAGAAGAAGATGAAGAATAGCTACACTGACACTAACACTAACACCAACACCCACCACGTAAAGCCTCAAGCTTTGGCCATTTTCCTTTATGGGTTCTTCTCTATGACCCTCTTCGCCACTTCACAAGACGACGCTGCTGTAATGCAAGCTCTCAAAAACAGCCTCAACCCACCCGACTCACTCGGGTGGTCCGACCCGGATTGTTGTAGATGGAATCACGTGACTTGCTCTGATGACAAACGGGTCACGCGGATCCAAATCGGGCGGCAGAACCTGCAAGGCACGCTTCCTCCAACGCTTCAGAACTTGACCCAGTTACAACACTTGGAGCTCCAGTACAACAACATTTCGGGTCCTCTTCCTTCTCTAAACGGGCTAACGAATCTTCAAGTTTTCATGGCCAGTAACAACCGTTTCTCCGCCGTCCCCGGCGACTTCTTCGCCGGCATGTCGCAACTTCAAGCGGTGGAGATCGACGACAACCCTTTTGAGCCTTGGGAGATTCCTCAGAGTCTTAAAAGCGCTTCTGCACTTCAGAACTTTTCAGCTAACTCGGCTAATATCAGAGGAAAGGTTCCAGATTTTTTTGGTTCTGATGTGTTCCCTGGCTTGACCCTTTTGCATTTGGCCTTCAATGACCTTGAGGGAGGGTTACCCTTGAGTTTGTCTGGGTCTCAGATTGAGTCTCTGTGGTTGAATGGACAGAAGAGTGAGAACAAGCTTGGTGGAACCGTTGAGGTTTTGCAGAACATGACTTTCTTGACGCAGGTTTGGTTGCATTCCAATGCTTTCACTGGTCCTTTGCTTGATTTTTCTGGGTTGAAGAGTTTAGAGGATTTGAGTTTGAGGGATAACAGGTTTACTGGTCCTGTTCCGGATTCTTTGGTTGGTCTTAAGTCGCTTAAAGTTGTGAACTTGACAAATAACTTGTTTCAGGGTCCAATGCCTGTGTTTGGTGATGGGGTTAAGGTGGATAATGATAAGGATTCCAATAGTTTTTGCTTGCCGGGTCCTGGTGATTGTGATCCTAGGGTGGATGTTCTTCTTTCTGTTGTGAAGGATATGGGTTATCCTCAGAGGTTTGGTGAGAGTTGGAAAGGGAATGATCCTTGTGTTAATTGGATTGGGATTACTTGTAGTGATGGGAACATTACTGTTGTTAATTTTCAGAAGATGGGTCTTACTGGTGTGATATCCCCAGAATTTGCTAAGCTTAAGTCATTGCAAAGATTAGTGCTTGCTGATAACAATCTCACTGGTTTGATTCCGGAGGAGCTTACTACTTTGCCTGTGCTAGCTCAATTGAATGTTGCAAACAACCAGCTTTATGGAAAGGTGCCAAAATTTAGGAGCAGTGTGGTTTTGACCACGAGGGGTAACGTTGATATAGGGAAGGATAAAAGCAGCCATTCCCCTCAGGATCCGGTTTCTCCCGGAGGTCCCAATGTGAATGGAGAAAGTGGAGGGAGTTCTGGAAATGGTGGCAAAAAGTCTTCTTCCCATGTGGGAGTAATTGTCTTTTCTGTGGTTGGGGCTGTGTTTGTGGTTTCGTTGATTGGTTTCTTAGTTTTCTGCTTGTTTAGGATGAAGCAAAAACGATTAACCAGGGTCCAGAGCCCAAATGCATTAGTTATTCATCCCAGGCATTCTGGATCAGATAATGAAAGTGTGAAGATAACGGTTGCAGGTTCAAGTGTCAGTGTTGGGGGTGCTAGTGAAACCCGAACTGTAACTGGCAGTGAGGCCGGAGATATTCAGATGGTTGAAGCAGGAAACATGGTCATTTCTATACAAGTCTTGAAGAATGTCACTGACAATTTCAGTGAGAAAAATATATTGGGGCAAGGAGGTTTTGGAACAGTTTATAAAGGTGAACTCCATGATGGTACAAGAATTGCTGTGAAGAGAATGGAGTCTGGGGCAATAACTGGGAAGGGTGCAGCAGAATTCAAGTCTGAAATTGCTGTTTTGACGAAGGTTCGCCACCGGCATCTTGTTGCACTTCTTGGTTACTGCTTGGATGGGAATGAGAAGCTTCTTGTGTACGAGTACATGCCTCAGGGAACGCTAAGTAAGCATCTGTTCAACTGGCCAGAGGAAGGGTTGGAACCACTGGAATGGAATAGAAGATTGACCATTGCCTTAGATGTGGCAAGGGGTGTTGAGTACCTCCATGGCTTGGCCCATCAAAGCTTCATACACAGGGATTTAAAACCTTCAAATATTCTCCTTGGAGATGATATGAGGGCAAAAGTTGCAGATTTTGGTCTAGTGCGTCTTGCTCCAGAGGGAAAAGCCTCTATAGAAACAAGAATTGCAGGAACTTTCGGCTATTTGGCACCGGAGTATGCAGGTAGCTTTTAACTTTTAAACTCCACATCATCTCCCTATGTCTTTGTGGGCTATGCCATTTTTTAACCAGTTTTCCCAAATAAACAGTAGTGATAATGTAGGTGATATATTTTGAGTCAATGGCTTAGTGTCACAGTATCCCAGGAAAAGTATACTATAGTAAAATCTAGTTTGATTAGCATATTTATTGCCAGCTAGGATCCACAATGCTTTAAAAGCAACTGGAGACATTCATTTCTTTTTAGGAAGCTAATAAGACTTTTTTTTTTCTTGCATAATCTCCATAACCAACTCTATGCCAAGATTTGGCTAATTTACTGATGAAGAGATAGAAGGAACTAGGAGGAGTTGTTTTCTACCACCATACTAGGGCCTGGTTGTATTGACTAGAAGGTTCAGTAAAACCATTCATTAAAAATTTATCCTGTACTAAAAGTCAAGAATGTAACTTGTGCATTCATTTATTCATGTTATTAAAAAGCATTAAAATGGCAACGGATATGGATTTCGCTTCTTCAAGTCTGAAGCATTCTTTGTTAAATGTGCTTTCAACATGTAAATTTCCTGGTCTTCCATTGATATGGTGTATTTGGATTGACTGCATGTTTGTGATCTGATTTTTTTTCTTGGTGGTATGAAAGTGCTGAATGCTTGTTGAGTTGTGTTTAATCTTTGTTGGATGTTCATTGATTTTGGGCATATGGCTCTAACACCACCATGCAAATGGCTATCTGCTTGCAGTTACCGGCCGTGTGACAACTAAAGTTGACGTGTTCAGCTTTGGCGTAATATTGATGGAGCTGATGACTGGAAGAAGAGCGCTTGATGAAACCCAACCTGAGGATAGCATGCACCTTGTAACATGGTTCCGCAGAATGTCCATAAATAAGGACTCATTCCGCAAAGCCATTGACCCGACAATTGAGCTCAACGAGGAAACTCTTGCGAGTATTCACACTGTAGCAGAGTTAGCTGGCCACTGCTGTGCAAGGGAGCCATACCAAAGGCCTGACATGGGTCATGCTGTTAATGTGCTTTCATCTCTTGTAGAACTTTGGAAACCATCTGATCAGAGTTCTGAAGATATATATGGTATTGACCTGGACATGTCCTTGCCGCAAGCTCTTAAGAAGTGGCAAGCTTACGAAGGTAGAAGCCAAATGGAGTCTTCTTCTTCTTCTTCTCTTCTTCCAAGCTTGGATAACACACAAACAAGTATACCTACACGCCCATATGGATTTGCTGAGTCTTTCACATCAGCAGATGGTAGGTGATCATGCTTGGTTGTAAATAATTGTAATTTGTAAGGTGTTTCTTTAGTGTGTATGTTTATTCTCCTTGATTCTTGCTGGCTTTTCTTTTGTGAACTTGTTTATCTTTTCCCCTGGTGTAGTTCTCCATGATTATTTTTTCCACTCTTTTTGGCACTTGTTAAGGACTTTTCCTGGCGGTTCTCAGTAGAGGGTTTATTTTTCATCTCACATTCATGTTTTTCATCCTTTCAGTTAACATTGAGATGTGTAAATCAAATAGCACTATTGAGCACCCCCTTATAGCTTTAGCTTATAGTTTGATTAGTTCATGTATTGTAGATTGGTTGCAAGTTGTATTGTGTGCATGTGGATGATGAATGACACATGGGGATCAACCCACAACTGGCATCATTTTGAAAATCTGCAACTTGAATAGATTTTTAAAAATTCTGAGAATACAACTTTAGTACTACCTGCCACAAGGTGGCTATCATATCGATGTTGGGTGAGAATTTGGCGTTTATGAAGCAGTTTTGGATGAGCATGAAATTGTGAAATGGACAAAATAGACAAGTGAGGTAGTAGTTATAAGAAAGAATCAAATATTATTTGTTGCTGCAGCTTGCCTCTTTGTGAAAAGGTCACAGTGTGGCAAAAGGCGAGTGCATGTTATGCCAAAAGATGTCTGTCAACCCTTTCCAACTGGCTTCCACAAAGCACTTTATGGTTTCTTATCTGTTAAGTTTTAAGTTTTAACATTTTAAAAATAAAGGAGAAAGCATGAACAAAAAGCCATGGTCCCTTTTAGCCTTTTAAGTTAACGCCTGGTTGTTATTACAATGAGAGAAATTATAATTGGACAACAAATTTGTATACTTTTTTTTATATAAATTAGGAAAATATAAAAAAGAGAAAAAAATAAGTGAGTGATAAAATAAGTGATGTAATGAAAAGAGATAAATAAAAAATTGAATTGTACAAAGTGTTATAGAAATTTTTATAAATATATTTGTCTCTTACAATAATTGAAAATAGTTATCGATTCATTTTGAATAGATGGATTAATTCGTTTTGAAGACTATAGAGGATTATTAATGGAACATTTTAAGATGACTATTGGGCAATCATGCATTTTTGTTTTGTTTTTGGTCCAATGCCTTTATGTTTGAATTAGTTAGATGAACCTAAGTACATCTGAATTCAATATTTAATACATTTTTTTCATACACTTTCTATTATTAGTTGATTTTATTTAAAATTATAAATTACTATGAAAATCATTTATTTAGAAGTTAGATTTACATAATTATGTAATTTTTAATAAATTTCAATCAATAATAAAAAAAGTGTATTAAAAAGATTATATTAAAAAACTGTGTTACTAACCTTTCTCATATTTAAATTAGTATTATTAATGTCAAGAAAGTTGACATTAGTATTAACTTTAAGAAAGATGGTGTAGTTAGTCTTTTTATAATTCTAAAACAGTTATATGTTAAGATACTTCCATTTATAAAGACCTTTTTTGTTTAAACTTAAAAAGAAAAGTTAACATAAAAAACAATTTTATGATATGGATTTTACTTTTTGTTTTGCAACTCATTATGATTTTGCAGTTAAAAAATACTTTGTAAAAAATTAGAAACACAAACAAACAAACGTTCAACTTGTAACATGAGAGAAAAGAAAAGTTCATTTTTTCAACCCAACATGTGTAATCTTTAACTACCATTTCAATTAGTGCAACTAACAAAAAGAGACACCAAACCACTTCACCCACAAAGTCAAGGATAGAGGGATTAAAACAACGAATGATGACTGTAGAGGATTTAATTCTATTGATTAAAAGAACAGTATAATTATCCATGCTATGTGTTCTTTTAATTTAACTTTTTTTTTTCTTCTCATACCCTCAATATTCGAATGTGGCATTGACCTCATCAAGTCATGTTGATCGTACAAATTTAATGGAACTATAGAACACAACTTAATTACAATTAAATATCCATGATTTCTTATATTGGAGGAATTTAACCATTATTCAGTGCCATGCATGTCTTTTTATATTTTTTGGGTCTAAAACGCTTATATATTTCTAACAAGGTCACCCCAAGTCATTTGGGCATAGTTTGAAGAACAAGTCCAATTTGGGTCATTCGAGATCCATTAGTGGAATGTTGATATAATGAAAAGACTTGAAGAAGCCCTCATATTTTTTAAGATTTTGAAGACTGACATCCTTATCTGACCAAAAAGAAGAACACTGACGTCTTTCTAAAGAGTTTTTGTTTTGATATTCATTATTTTCTTTTAAAGATTATATTGTCGACTTTCTTATACTTTTCTTTGAATGAACGTAACTAAATCCATAATCTTGTTATGTAATTCTGGGTTTCTTATTTTAATACAATTTGTACTTTTTCCTTCACTAATTGAATTTAATCTATTATTATTTTTATTATAAAATTAAACTTAATTCACTCAAAATACTAATTCAAAAAGAATAATTTATCTAAGAGAATCATAAAAAATGTCTTATCATACTTTTAGCTAATGTAAAAACACTTAATGCACGTTCTCATGCCCAAAACTAAATAAGTAGTAGTAAAGTTTACAAGACTGCGACATTATAAAAAAATATTATTTATACTCTTAATTAACAATTATAATTATTTCAAATTGAAACTTGATCGATGTTATTTTGTTTTGTTTAATTAATTGCCTATTGACCATCACAATTAATTAATAAAACTATGAAACAAATTCAGTTTTAGAATGGTCAAATGAACAACTTGTAATTCCTTACAAATTATATGATTAACAAACCTCTTGTTCTTTATGCTTTCTTGACTAATATCTTTCACGATTGAATTGGATGTTTTATTTAAGAAAAAGAATAGTTTAACGTTATTTTGATACAAATAAAAAATGAAAGATTGTCTATACCACTCTCATATGTTTGTTATTCTTCTTCATTTAAGATTTTTTATTTGAATATTGTTATTATTAATTTAATTAACCAATAAAATGTTTTAGAGTGATATTAGACTTACTCATAAAATTTATAATATATTTTACTAAATTTGACTAACTGTACTGTATTTGCTTTAATGAAATTAAGTTTAAAATAAGGTTAAATTTAGTGTAGAAAAGGTGTATAATTATTTATTCATATGAATGGTTTATCACATTAAATATTACACAATTTTACTCTAGAAGAGCTAAACTCAAAATCTTAGTTACAATATTTGAAGTATTTTTTTTATTAAAATTAAAGCTTAACATAAGAAATAAAAGTTAACTTTTAATGTTAATTTTATTATACATTACAATGAAATATTAATTTTGATTAAAAAAACACTAAAAATAGTTAAGATAGTGTAATATTACGTTTTGATCTTTTTATTACTTCCGTGTTTGTGAAAATTAATTCTCCCTTCTCTCCCCACGTTGCACAACTATAGCTATAAAATGTGCTAAGCTTGAAGCTCAACGAACGCGGGTACTTGAATAGTACTATAGGATTCAAATAATATACAAAAATGGAGGTTTCATAGACTTTTTGTATAAGAACAATAGGGTAGATATACACAAGAAATTAATTAGAGATGACAGTGGTTAGATGGTGACTTTTGTAGCTGTTAACAGTTCACCTATGCTCCTTACTCAATGGGACAATAATAGCAGTCTGGTATGTACAAGAGAGTCAAAATTCAACCCAAGTATACGAGACAGCATTAGGAGCAACAAATTAACAACTAAGCAAAAATATATAAACATCAACAAATTAACATTCAGATGTCAAGTTGAGTTACATTTTAATTTATCCAATTTTACGTTGTTTATTATGTTTTCTCCTACTTATTCGTTATGCAATATGCTATATATTTTGTATGAATACAGTTTTAAAATATAAATAATCCATTACATACCTAATAATGCCAGGCAAATAGAGAGGAAGATTAGTTCCAGCCTTCCAGGCAAGACTGCATGAATAATTAATAGGCGCAGTTACATCATCTTTCTATACATCTAAATTTTTTATTATATTTCGCAACTATTAAAAAATAAATAAATTAGCAAGTCCATTTCACGTGAAGAATAATATAAGCTTATAAACTACTCAGAATTGAAGCAACTTATCAGGACTAAAAATGTACATATTAAAGTTTGAGTAACCATTCACAGAACGCTTTTCAGTTAATGAAGAAAACAAAAGTAAATTTACATGTGAAAAAAAATTCAAATTTCATCAATTGTTAAAGATAATATTTTACATCACCATTTAATAATATATATATATATATATATATATTTTACATAATTATTATGATAGGTAAGTTTTTAATAATTTAATATTATCATTGTAAAAAAAAATCTTCCAATAATACTAAATTAAATCCTAAAAAATGTAACTAAAGCTATTGAAATGAAATATATATTTCCGTGTTATATAGGACCATACCACACTTTTTATTTTCGTTGAATGAAAGGATTAAAAGCAGCATACACCGACCCATGTTTCCTTACGCGGCTGGCACAAACTAAACGCGCACACGCACTCGAAGACTGACCTCATGCCTTGACAAAGACAAAACATAGGTATATATAATATTTTTAGTATTATCTTTTAATTAAAATAAAAAATTTACTTTAATAAAAGATTAAGTTACAAAATTATCATAATTAAAATAAATTTTAATTTAACACAATATTAAAAAATTAAACAAATATATTATAATGCATGTATTTTAGATTCACAATTGAACACACTTTATCTTGTTAATTTTATTTTCTGTATTAAATTTAAATTTAAAAGTACTTTAATGTATTTTCGATTACGCGCAATTAAAATTGATTATTGTTATAATTACAAGCAAAAGCATAACGAGCATGCAAATAGCTCTGCATGCAAGTCAGCGCACCGACCAGCTGACTCAGTCCGAGTCAGCTCCCGAACCACGCCGTTCAAACTTTCGACCGTCTTATTGGTACAACCTCAACAACTATGAGTATTCTTAATTTCCTTAAATTATTTATTTATTTTCAAGAACCTCCAACCTCGACTCAGTTTTCAAACTTTCAACGTTCAACGTTCAAACAATAATCTTAGCCTACTAACACCCACGCACAAAAAAAAAAAAACCCTCGTTTCCCTCTCATTTTTCGCCTTGTTTGACACATTCTCTTTAAACTATTCCTCTTTACCTAGCTATAGCTTTGACCCGCGTACCTCTCAACGTATGACTTATCATTGTATATATATAAACAAACCTCACAACCTTCCCTTCATCGCATCACATATCCTTCACCACCACTTAACCCGGAAAACAAAACATAGAAACAATTCGGAAAAAAAAAAAAAAGAATTATCTCAATTGAAGCAAAATGGTTTTGTCTTGGACAAGGGGGAGAGTTTTCCGTCGGGCCCGTAAAGGGAAAGAGTTGAATTCCGGTGGTGATTTGGAGATAGAAATTGCTATCCCCACCCACTTCCGATGCCCGGTTACTCTTGATTTGATGAAAGATCCTGTGACACTGTCCACGGGAATAACCTACGACCGAGAAAGCATTGAGAAGTGGATTGAAGCAGGGAACCACACGTGCCCGGTTACCAAGAGAGAGTTGACCAGCTTTGACATGATCCCAAACCATGCCATTCGGAGGATGATTCAGGATTGGTGTGTTGAAAACCGTTCTTATGGGATTGAAAGGATCCCCACTCCTCGTATACCCGTCACTCCGTACGAGGTTACCGACACGTGTACGAGGATCCTGTCGGGTGCGGAAAACGGTGATGAAAACAAGTGTGTGGAATTGGTGAGGAAGATTAAGGCTTGGGGGAAAGAGAGTGAGAGGAATAAGAGGTGTATTGTGGGCAATGGTGCTGCTCTTGCGCTGGCTAAGGCTTTTGATTTTTTCTCACGTGGGTCGGTTGATAAGCACGTGGGTGTTTTGGAGGAGATTTTGGGGGTGTTGACATGGATGCGTCCTCTTGCCGAAGAGGGTAGATCCGTGTTGGGGTCAGTGAATTCTGTTAGTTGCATGGTTTGGTTTTTGAATGGTGAACAAGTTTATACCAGGCAAAGTGCTGCTTTGTTGCTTAAGGAAGTGCATGTTGAAGCGTTGGTGAAAAGTGTTGGTGTTGTTGAGGCTTTGGTTAAGATGATTAGGGAGCATGTTGGGAGTGTTGCCACAAAGGCATGTTTGTCAACGGTTTTTAACATGGTTTCCTCGTTAGAGAATAGAGATGGAGTTTCTCAAAGGTTTGTGGAATTGGGTTTGGTTTCACTCTTGTTGGAGGTTCTTGTTGATGCGGAAAGGGGGGTTTGTGAGAAAGCTTTGGGGGTGTTGGATTGCATTTGTGATTGCAAACAAGGGGTGGAAGTTGCGAAGGCAAATGCTTTGACTTTGCCTCTTGTGATTAAGAAGCTGTTGAGGGTGTCTGAGTTGAGTTCTAGTTTTGCTGTGTCGATTCTTTGGAAGGTTTGTGACAAGACGGAGGAAGGAGTGTTGATTGAGGCACTTCAGGTTGGGGTGTTTCAGAAGCTCCTTGTTTTGTTGCAAGTGGGTTGTGGTGAGGGCACGAAGGAGAAGGCCACTGAATTGTTGAGATTGTTGAATGGTTATAGGAGCAAGGCAGAATGTGTTGATTCATCGTTGGATTTCAAGCACTTGAAAAACCCTTCTAATTGATCCATTAGCTAGGGTGAGATTTGATTTGGTTTCCCTTTTTTGTATAGGTCATGTCATAGAAACTCAATACACATTTGTACAAAGACAGTCTCATAGAAGACACAAATTGTATCCCTAACATTCAATTGAAGTTTTGAGATTCATTCTTTTTTCGGGTATTTTAGATTTGAGTCATACGGGCATGCTAAGGGCTTGTAGTTGTATGCTTATAATTCATAAATTCAGAACTCAGTAGAAGAAACTGTTCTGGTTTATTTTGCAAATTGTTCCATTATTTGAAGCACTAATTAAGGAATTCTTAAAATACTAAAAGCGAAATTGGTATTTGTAAATTATATGATGCTAATTTGTGAATTATGTGATACAAATTGTAAATAAATTGTGAATTATTTACATCTAAGATGTTTGCTCCAATGGCATAGGGTACCCAGCGGTTAAAGTTAAAACAAAAAAAAAAAAATTTTTTTTTAATAATTTAATATTTATATAACATCTTTTATTTCTTTTCATCTCTTTTTCCTTTTATCATATTACATTGCTTATTAAATATATTACTTCCTTTTATTCCTATCCCTCTCTAGGTGATATTCAAATAGTTCTAAAAAAATAATGGAAGCAAATTCTTACAAATACACTTTTAAGAATGAAATTAAATGTTTAGATTTTTCCATAAATTAAAAATGTTAAGATTTTAAGAAATTATCATGTACGACATTTTGTTTTGGTCTGGGAAAACACTAGCCAATGCAAGAACCTGGAGATTAGTTACATGAGCAGAGGAATAAGAATATTCAGGGTGTGGAGGTACAAAGAAAGACAGCCAATCACGGCATAGTCCAATGGTACTTGGATTGGGGTGGATGCAGTCCAACTTGGTTGCAGAATGCCAGAATGGATTCTCAAGTCCAACGTAGACGGCTACAATCATGGTCAAAATCGGATAACGCCAAAATTGCTTTTATCGTTTATGTGAAGTATAGGCCTTAGCGATATCGTTGTTAATGTAACCAAGAGAGAAGTTTTAGGCCAAGCCCATTAGCTTAATTCAATCTTTTAACTATTATAAAACACTAAAAGCCCAAGTTCATCAGCATGTGCATAATTTTAATCATTTAAAATATTGTAGTAAAATAATGATTATCTAATAATTAATACGCGAGGATGCAAAGTACAAGCTTGACATTAATTGTTTACAGAAATTTCACAGTAACCCATGTTAAGTGAAAATGATTTTCTCACATCTGGTATGAAATGAGGATGGAAAAGAGAGAGAGAAGTAAAAGAAAAGAAAGAAAATAAGGGATAATAACTGGGTAAAGATATCACATCTTCAAAGAAAATCTGGTCATAATGATAGGAGCTAATATATAGCTGCGTTTAAGATTCGTTCGTTGCTGTGTTAAGGTTCTATTCAACATATGGATGATACACTGCTTAAACTAAAAGGTTTCATATACATGTATGGGAGTTATGGAACCCATTTTATGCCTACTTCTGGTTGGACTCGAGTATCCTAAGTCTAAATTCTCACGGACTATTGCAGCGTTTAGAACAAAAGATTTTGACATTAAAAAAGGAACAAAAGTTTCAGTTTGATAAAGAAAATAAAAAGCACAAATAATAGTTAGGAGAATTAAAATAATATTAAATAGTAAAAAAAAATATTTTGACAAAAACTATATACAAAAAACTTGACGTGATTTCAGTAAAATTTATTTTTTTATTCTTTTAACTTTTATTTAACCGATCATAAATCATGCCTAAAATTGTCAAAAAAATTTCATACAAAATAGCAATGCTCATTCAGAAAAGCTACCATACCATTCTGGTTATTATACAATAAAAACTTGTCCATAAAAACGGATAGGTTCATACCAAGCCATCAAAATAAGAGTCAACCAAATAAGATTAGAGGGTATTTAGATATAAGATTTAATTAAATTTATATCATAATTTTAATGATAAATTTCATTATAATAAATTAAATTTAACTTATTTTAATAAGTTATATCAATAAGTTAAAAAAAGTTAATAAACAAATTTTATAAACTGTTTGTGAACTCTTTCAATCCCTAACCCAATAAGCACACTTATTTCTCAATGGATTATCGTATAACAATAATCCAAATAACCCCCTCTCTGCTAATCCCACCTTCATTTCTCTCATTTTATTTACAAACCTTTTTTCCTTTCTCTTTCACGCAATCCCAACTTTGCAAAGGATAAAACTTAAAACTGTAGCATTATAAGTATTATTGGTGTTATTTTTTAATTAAAATATTTAAAAAAAGAACATGACCATAGGCAACACGGTGTTAAACTTGTTTTTTTATTTTTATCCTTATAATATAGTTCAACAGTGAGAGTTAACAGAATAAATGTAGCATGACTATTATTTTAAAATTATTATCTTGTATATAACATTCTAACATAAAGTTGACCAAGGTTTCGAAAAAGATGTCGTTGAAGTTAAATGGACCGTGAAACAGCTTTATAGCTACATGTATTGGGTAATGAGGCTTGGTGGAGTGTTTTTGTTGGACCATTATTTCCGTCTTGGGGAGCAGCTGGAGAAGATTATGGGCCAATGATTTAGGTGTTGGACCTGGTAATATATATATATATATATATATATATATATATATATATATATATATAATCTTTTATACAAAAGTATATGAGTTTTGGAGAAAAATTTGTTTTGACAACTACATTAATATTAACATATTAATATATTTATTTTTATAATAATAAATATTAATATTTTAATTCAAATTAATTAAATGTATTTATCTTTAATGTGCAATTTTAATACATTCAAAATGTGCAATATTTAAGGCAATTATAAATTTTAATATTAATGGTTTATTATTTTTATAATGTTTAAGGCAATTTTGAGTTTATATATATAAAAGTAAATAAATTTTTGAGAAAAAATTGCCTTCACAACTATATTAATATATTAATACATTTATTCTTGTAATAATAAATATTAATAATTTAATTTAAATCATTTAAATGCATTTATCTCTAATTTATAGTTTTAATATATTCGAAAGCTGCAACATTTTTTTAAGGTAATTTTGAATTTTAATATTAATATTTATTTTAAAATTTATTATTAGAAACTAATAACTGATAGAATTAATATGAGTTTATATATTTGAAAGGTCGTAAAATGTAATATGGATAATTAAATAATTTTAATGTTGTAAATACAATTAAATGGTGTACGAGAGCCAGATGGATAGATGAAAACCGTTTAAAAGTGAGAAAAAATTATATTTTATTTGGTATATATAAAAGAAAATATAGGTTGTTTGTTCGAAATAATATTCCTCTAAAATGGTACCTACTATTTTAATGCATTCTGAAATACAACTTGAGAAAGTACACTAGAAGATAATAATTCTAATAATTCATTTGTGATTTTCTTTTGAGATTAGAAATAAAAGTCAAGTCAATAGCGTGAACATGATATTAGTTGATTAAAAGGTGAAGCTGTTTGATTTCTTTTGTCGAAGTGCACAAAAATTTCTTATTATTTTAATTCTTTCATCTTCTCTCATTATTTCAGAATTCAAAGATTCATTGTACTGTTAGGAATAATATTATATCATGTTATGAAAAATTATTGCATGAAGGCAAAGTGTATATCATAGAAAATTTTATGGTAATTACTACTGAAAAAAAGTTGCAACCCACTAAACACAGATAGAAGTTAAATTTGATAGGAACAATTGAAGTTTCAAAGGTCAAATGTGACAACATCTTTTGATTTTGTTCTATTCTCAAAAAATTAACTTTCCTATAAGAGTTTTATTCAATTGATTTTCTTCTATTTTATTGTTGTAGATTTAGTCTTCACATAAGAACAACTAAGGAATTTTACATTTAGTGAAATTGCTAGAGAGCAACAATAAGAGTTTGGCTAACTTCTCAACCATGTCTCAGCCAGATATGACAATGGTTTCAAAAACACAAAATAGGCTTACTCTCGATGAGATAAATTGTGATACTAAAGTATTGGCTACTGAGCATATTCATTCATCGTCTAGATTTATATATGAATAAAGAAATATTTATGACAAAATTATGTCAATTGTTTCTAAAAATGTTGAAGGAGTTGGTTTTGTTTTTATGGTTATGGTGGTATTGGCAAAACTTTCATTTGGAATACTATATATGCAACTATTATGATCTAAATGTTCATTCGAGATTTGTTATTCCCATCAATGTGAATGAGGACTTCACTTGCAATTCAAATACGAAAGTCACTCGGCTGAATTGATTATTAGATCAAAATTGACAATATAAGATGAAGCTCCAATGTGTCATAAAAAATGTTTTGAGGCTGCAGATAAAACATTTAGAGATATTTTAAGATTTTCTAATTATAACAAACTAAACAAGCCATTTGAGGGGAAAGTAGTAGTTCTTAGTGGAGATTTTAAACAAATTTTACCAGTAGTTCCAAAGAAAGGAAACAAGACATCATTTATGCTTTTGTTATTTCTTCTTATATGTGATAGTATTGTCAAGTGTTAGAACTCACAAAAAACATCAGACTTCAAACTAGAAGTTATAATTCAGAGGTTGATTATTTAAAAAAAAAGGATTAAATTTTGAGTATAGGTAATGGAACAATTGATAAACAATTAAATGAGAAAATTATGGTTCAAATACCAGATTATCTACTCATAAAGGAAAGTAATGATTCAATTGCTTCTATTGTGCAGTCAAAGTATCCATCTTTTTTTGGAAAACATGATACATCATTTGTTTTTCCAAGATCATGCTATACTAAACCAAGTAATGAGATTGTTGACATGATAAATGATTACATGTAGACTTAATGCCATCAAAACAAAAAAAAAATATCAGTTTTGATTCCACATGTAAGAGTGATGTGGATTTTGACAAGCTTGATAATATTCAGGCTCTAGAATTCTTTAATATTATTAAATCATCAAGTCTTTCAAATCATAAGTTGAAGTTGAAAATTGGTATTCCTATTATGCTATTAAGAAACATAGATAAATCTTATGGCATGTGCAATGAAACTTGATTAGTAATTACTTTGATGAGAACTTATATCCTTAAAACTAAGGTTATTTTTAGAAACAATGTTGGTTAAAAGGTATTCATACTAATATTATCTTTGACTCCTTCGGATGGTAAGATATATTCTAAGTTTTAAAGACGACAATTTTTAATTACTCTTTCTTTTGTAATGACAATTTACAAAAGTCAAAGTTAATTTTTTAAGCATGTTAGGATTTTCCTTCTAAAATAACTTTTTTCTCATGCTCAATTATACAGAGCAATCTTTAGGATAATTAATCAAAAGAAATTAAAGATTCTTCTACAAAATTGTGATGAAAAAAGTACAAAAATTATTACAAATATGGTGTACAAGAAAATCTTTTAAAATTTAAATTAAGTTTATTATAATTTTTTTTATTAATATCAATATAAAAGAAAAATAACTTTATAATGTTATATATTATATTTCTTTCTTTTAAATAATTAATATTTTTATTAATAATAATATTAATATATACTAATTAATTTTAAACTTTAAAATAATTTTAACATTATCATAAAAAGTTTTATAAAATTGTTTTTTATTTTATAATTGATAATTATAATTATAATATTATACTATGACATAATATAATATGTATTAACTTTGTTCTTATCATAATATTTGTCTATATTTTATATGTGACTCATAAATTTTATATTATATTAACAAGTATAATTTTAATTGATACAAAAATTAATTTTTATATTTAATAAAACTATTTTTCTCTTTTAATTTTTATTTAAATCTTAATTAAATTTTTTAAATATATAAAATATATAAAAATATTTTTATCATATTATTTAATATAATAAAATTTTATTATTATATATTTTTATATTTAAATTATAATTTTTTATTTTAAAATAAAATAATTTAATAAACAATATAAATAAATTTGTGTACCACACAAATATATTTACTAATTTATAACTAAATTATTATTATTAAGACTTATAATATTTAAAGTTATATAAAAATTAATTTTAATTTATATATTTATTTTTTATAGATAATTTATTTTAAAAAATAATCAAAATTTTTATTTAATATTTTTTATATTTCTGTTATATTAAAAATAATTATTTTTATATTTAAATTATAATTATTTTAAAACTAAATTAAATAATATATATATGTGCAAATTTGTGCAACACACAAGCATATTTACTATAATATATATATATATATATATATTATCCGTCAAACTAATTGTTTTTTTAAATTTTTTTGTGAGCTTTTGGTTTCGACCCTTTTGATGTGGGCTAATTGGACTGACCCATTGTATCATTCTCGGGCACAAGAAGGCCCATGATGACATTATCCAGAGAGGTTTCTTCAACAAGTTTTTGATTCCTGAGATTGCAAACATCAACTTTGGACTGATCCCAGAAAACCCTTGTCTATTTTTGTCTCTTCTTCTTCGTTCAAACTTCTCCTTTTCCCTCCCTCTATTCCTATTCTACCATTCAATGTCCATATACACTGCACATGCTGTGCCCCACATTGCTGGACCATTGTTTCTCCCATATTATGCAGTTTCTCATCAATATTCACTCACTTTTTCTCATGGGTCTGTATTTACAAGGTAAACCCCATTCATAAAATTTGTATCTTTATTTTCAATTTCTGTTGGAAAGAATGATCCACGTGGGTAATTGTGATAGATTGAGACATGAATGTTCATTTGTTAGAACAAGTCTGAGAAAAACAGCTAAAACATAAGCAGTGTTGCTGTGTGAGGTGTGAACTAAATTTTGGTGCAAATTTGCATGGATAATTGGCACATAGAATAATACAGATTTGCATTGGCTGATTAAATTGTTGACGATTAATTGAAATTCATGATCTTCTGAAAAATGGTATTTTTTTTTTCTGTAAAGGTTTGTGATTCTAAAGGTTCTAGAAACTCCTTTGATTGATACTTTATTCATAACAGCTTCAGTTTGAGTGTATATATATATATATATATATAATATTTTCTTTTGAAGAAAAGAAGGTTCTCTTTCAGTTGGCCTTCTGTGATAAGGTTGAAAGTTGTTGAAAAGTTCAGCATTAGTTCCATGGTGTTTATGCCAAATGTCAAATTTGGTGGTTACATTCAGATGTGTCCCTTATATCATTGTATTCTCTATCATAATAAATATTTACATCAGTGAAATGGCTTCTTCTGGATTTTATAATGGCTTTCTAAGGAAGGATAGTAATTGAGGCCATAAAGATGAAACTGAATTATGCTAATGACAATTTTGGTGAGTCATGAGACATATAAATGCCATTGCCAAATAAACACCTGTCATGCATTTTGCAAATAAGAAGTGAAGTTGAGCCCAAACGCATCCGTTTCATCCGTAGTCCTCGCTGTATATATTTGTCTTTCTTCACTGACCGTATGAACTCATTTTGGATCATCAAGTTAGCATCGTATCGAAACGGTTGCTTTCTAGGGTAATACTTTCTCCCCTTTTCCTTTGTGTCTTGGGCATTAGTCTGATTCATCCAACTGCATCTGAAATTCCTCCTTAAACATCTATTCATTCTGAAATACATACCTAATTTTCCATTTTAATCTGCTAGGAAATTATGAGTGCTTCTTCGTCCAGAGAAGTGAACAAGGTATGTGAGTCAAAACCTTTTTCCTGTATATTTTCTACTTGTTAAATTGAGTAGTATTTAGCTGATACTTAATTCTCTTTGATCTCTTAGTCATTCTGTTTAAATTTCCCACAACACAATTTTCTGTAAATGGAATCTTGTGAGGAGACAATTTGTTAAATTTGATATGGATAAGCTCTTTTATCCTCTTGGTAAATTCATTGTTCATTGTTAGTTTTTCTCATTTAGAATTTATGAAGCACATACGGTTTCGGTTGCCTGGTAAGGGTTAAAGAGAGGAGAACAGTACAAATCCTATTTTAGTATTTTTAATGCAACTGAATTAATATTTAGTCAAAGAAGCAGCATGGAAGGACCAAATTATTGAAGATTTGGTCTCTTGGTCTTATATGGTTCAAAATCAAGATTAAATTAGAAAATGATTGAAGACTAGAAATATATGTTCTCACTAGATCGAGACAATTTTGAATTATTTAACTTCGGTTTCAGTTTATCTTTTGTTGCATTTGAACAAGGCACGCTCTCAAGCATAGAAAGGAACAACTATTGCAACTAAGCTTCTTTAATCATATCCTACTTTTCCGTATTGATTTGATTGGAACTGATCTTTGCCTTCTAGGTTTTTTGACACTCTTTTTGCTCATTTTTATATGGTTTTATGAGGAACATTTGTTCCATGGAATAAACTGTTATTGGCATATCATATTGTATCTTTGAAGTTTGAAAATCTTAAAGCTTTTCGTCATGTTGGTTTTGCTTGCAATAATAACTTCTCACATCCAATTCAGTTTGAAGCTAGAGAGTAGCTACTAAACTGAAGTAATTTCTTTTCAAAATTCCCTGTTTAGCATGCTTAATTTGCTAGTTATAGTTCCTGTCTGGTTCTGCAGTAAACCACTGGGAGCTCTGGCATTTAATATCATTCAATAATCAATATCATATAGCTAGATATTAACTGAGGGAAAAAGTAGCAGTAGGGAATGCCGGTATCATTTATGCTTGGCCTATTGTTTACAAATATTAGTTTACCATTATTTGTGATTGACTCATATGTACTGGTTTTTGCCATTGCGAAGATAAAGGAAACACTGAAAAGCGACAAAGTGCGCTTGAATACATTGGTGCATTAAAATGTGATGACGTAGTCTTCCCACCACAATATGCCAACATTTATGCAGGATGGCTGCTGTTTGGAAGGAAAGGAAAATGAAAACAAAATAAATAATGAAAGTTAACAAAACGACAGAAGGATAAACAATGATGAGATGATCATTGGTTTCAGAAAAGAAACTTATCTGCCCCTTTCAGTATAATCTTATGTGACATGGTTTACTTTGTAGGATGAGCAAGTGGCCCAATGCAAAGTCCGCAAGCCAAGGTGGCTTGAGGCTTTTCTGAAAAAAACTTTCTTTGACTCATGTACGGCTCATCCATTTCGTAGGAATGAGTTGAATAAGTACTGTATAAACTGCAATCTGTCAGTTTGCCAATATTGTGTATCATCAGGCCCTCATCGCAACCACAAGATACTTAAAATCTATAGACATGTTTACAAGGATGTTGTCTCCCTTGCTGCTATGGAAAAGTATATTGACACCTCGCAGATCCAGGTATGACATGGTATCTTTTTATTCTGATCAAATATTTTATCAATACGATTCAAAACTTATGTGATTCAATGCATATTTGTATGCTTTCAGTGAATTTGTTTGCTAGTCTAATTTTAGTTGCTTACATTCACATATTGAAGTAGTTGGTGATCATTATCTTTTCTAAGTCTTGATTGTCTATTTTGTGAAACACAAGAAGAAAACAGGATACAGGTCCAGTGGAACTTGATTTGAGTGCATTATTGATTTTCCTTTTAATTGTGTTATTGGGTAATAATCTTCCATAGTATTGCTCAGATAGCTTTAAATTTAGTGATAACTTAAAGTGCTTTATAAGAGATTCATTCTCTTATGTTATTTGACCTTGGAAATAACTGTGAGATCAATAATCATAAACAACTTGGGACTTGTATCATTATAGTGGTGGCATGAAAAACTGTTATGTAGGTATAATACAGTGTTGGATAATAACTAAGGCTATATTTGGATAACTAATTAATGATGAGTGGAATAAAATGACATGAAATTGATTTTTTTTTATCACTCCATTATTTAGATATTTTATGATGAAATGGAATAAAGTTCCATTCCATTGTCTGAGAAGTGGATGAAATGGTAAAAGATATAATTTTATTATTCTTATCTTACCCTTATCAGCAATAAATATATATTTGTGTTAACTTATAATCAAAATGGTAATAACTCAAAACACATATATTAAATGTTAAGAGATTATAACATATATTAATATTTTATAATTTCTAATACTTAACATAGTTACATAAATATTATGCTTAAGAAAATTCTCCACTTATCAAACACAAATAATCAATCTGTGGTCAGAGCATTGATATGAAACTAATGGACCATTTTAATTAGAGCTATATTAATATTAACAAGTTATAAACTGAGGTAAACACAGCTATATTGAGCATTTTAGTCGCTATTGCTTGGTAGTTCTCTACTTCTCTCTTACATGTTTGCAAAGGAAGATGGACACTGATGCATAAGGAGGAAACCGGCTGCTGTAATGTTGGACCCATAGCAGAAGAATATATGATTGATACTAATAAGAGACCGAAAGTGTGGAAGGTTTATGTTAGAAGGAAGGGAAGGAAAGAGTCAACTGCTAGTTAGTTGTTAATATGGTTAATAGATGCTATAAATAGAGTTAGATTCAGTATTAAGGGGGCTTTTTGTTTTTCTGTAAATTCTGTTAGGTGAGAACTTAGTATTTGTACAGGAGCTGACAGCTCTGGAGGATTCTTGCTAAAGAGAGCATTAACAATTGTCAATACTCTTCAATCTTTCTTGATCTTACGCCTGAGACCCTAACAATTGGTCTGACCTGCTGGATTCATTTTTTGCATGTCAACAAGGATGAGTGAGAGGGTGGAGGTTCTTGAATAACAAGGAAGATGAATGTTACGCAACAAGAATTGTGGAAGGAGATACAGAAGATGAGCGCTGCTAAGGTGATAGAAGACCAGTTGTATATGGAGTTGCATGGAGAAAGATTTGTAAATGTGAATGATGTGAATGCAGGGGGAGGAAACATTGATGTGGAGTTTCATTCTTCTGCCAAGAAGGTGGAACTTCCCGCTTTCAATGGTGTTGATTCTGTGGGATGAATTTGTAGAGCGGAGACCTATTTTGAAGTGCATGGCATAGGTGAGGCCGTGAAAGTGAAGTTGGCCAAGATTTGTATGGAGGGAACCACAATTCATTGGTTCAATTAGTGGCATGAGGAGGAATAATTTACCTGGTATAATCTGAAACAGGCCTTGACTGTTAGGTTTTGGAGTGATCGTTTGGACAATCCTTTTGAGGAGTTGAAGTTGCTAAAGCAAGAAGTTTCTGTGGAAGAGTTCATTGAATGAAGCTCTAGCCTCTCAGGTGCCAAGGCTGCTTGAGACCCAGTATCTTGGGTATTTTGTTGGAGGATTGAAAGAAGAAATCAGATTGAGGGTACGTACTCTAGATCCATCAGCTAGATGACATGCAATGTGTTTGGTGAGGGGTATTTAGGCCGAGATTGCCGAAGGTGGTGAGTCATTCCTTATGTGGAATAGGGGTTATGTTGGGGGAATGTTGGCTTCGGGATATCTAAGAAATTTTTTTTTGGTCTTTGTTCAACAAGATTTTGGGTGCATAGGGGGAAACTCAGTTAGTCAGGGGTTTAAAGCTCCTGCACTAGCTCCTTATTCCAGTACAATGATGATGATGTAGTCAGGTGTGACGAGAAACAATAGGGGAAGTCATAGTAGGGGCTTGAAGCATCTTTCTCATAATGAAATGATGGAGCGTTGACAGCTGAGATTATGTTTTAAGTTTGACAATTTTGGCAGAGGATGAGTAGAGTGAGGAAGATGAATCAGTGGCGGTTGTAGTGGGAGGAGATAGGTTTGAGGAAGAAGGGAGAGAGCTCAAATGCTAGGGAATGGGCCTCGTGGGTGAAAGTCTAGGTGGGCCAACAGCCATGAAGTTAAATGGGTTGTTAGTGGGGGTACTTGTAGTTCTCTTTGTGGATAGTGGAGCAAGTGAAAATTTTGTTGCTTCCCAAGTGGTCCTTTCTTTGGGCCTGAAGGTGAGAGAAGAGCCTAAGTGTAAGGTTAGGCTGGGAGATGGACACTTAATACATTTTAGAGAGTTTTGCCCACAGTTTCCTTTACAGCTGGCATTGAGATGACTTTAGATGCCCATGTGTTGGATTTAGGCAGGTTAGATGTTGGATTGGGGGTCACATGGCTTAAGACTTTAGGGATGGTGACGGTGAATTGGATAGATATGGATATGCAGTTTGAAATATGATTGAACTTAAGGGAGTTAGCTCCATGGAGAGTGAAAAACAGTGGAAATTTGGAGAAGGTCAGGTTCCTCTTTATAGCCTTGTTGGTAGTGCAGCCCTGTTGATTGAGGGGATGCAATGGTCCAAATCGGATTAGTGGGTGAGAGGAGATAATGTAGACTTATCAGCTGGACAACAACAAGATCTACAACAAATTTTAGAGGATCATAAGAGCATTTTCAGCGAGTTGAGCAGACTTCCTCCTAAGAGTTCAACATAACACATTATCATCTTGAAGGAGGGAATGGAACCTGTCAATGTCATATCTTACAAATATCCTCATCATCACACGAATGAAATTGAAAAAGCAAGTTCAGCTGCTGTTGGAGTAGGGAGTGATCCACTACATTTCTAGCCCGGTCATTCTAGTTAAAAAAAATAATAATAATACATGGAGAATGTGTGTTGATTACTGAGCTTTAAATGCCATCACCATCCTCGATAAGTTCCCTATTCCGGTAGTTGAAGAATTATTAAATGAATTTTTCGGGTCTCATTTCTTCTTTAAATTGGATTTAAAATCCGAATATCACCAAATTTGTATGCGAGAAGAGGATATACTGAAAACTGTTTTCAAAACTCATGAGAGGCACTATGAATATTTAGTTATGTTTTTTGGGCTAATGAACACTCTATCTACTTTCCGTTCTATGATGAACATGATTTTTCGTTCATATTTATGAAAATTTGTTTTGGTATTCTTTGATAACATCTTGGTATATAGTCATGATTGGTCTTCACATATCTAGCATCTGAACTGTGTTCTGCAAGTGCTAGAGGAGCATCACTTTGTGGCCAACAAAGCAAAGTGTTGTTTCAGGAGAAGACAGGTTGAATATTTAGGACACATTATCTCTTTTACTGGTTTACAAGTGCATAGAAATAAGGTGAAGAGTGTCTTGGAGTGGACCATTCCTAAAAATATAAAAAGTGTATGAGGATTTTTAGGCTTGACAGGGTATTATCAAAGATTTATAACTGGTTATGGGAAGATTGCTAAGCCTCTTACTGAGTTGACTAAGAAAGAAGGGTTTAATTAGGGACTCAATGCAGAAAAGACATTTAATTTGTTGAAGGAAGCTTTGGTGACAACCCCTGTTTTAACTTTTCCTAATCTTGATGAGAGGTTTGAAGTTGAAAGTAATGCCTCTGGAAGCAGAAGTGCAGTTCTTATGCAGCAAGGTAGGCCAATTGCTTATTTCAGCAACGCCTTGTTTGAAGGACATTTGGCTAAATCAATTCATGAGGAGTTGATGGCTATGGTTCTTGTCTTTCTACAGACACTATTATTTCTATCGTACAACTGGATAGAAATAAGGTGAATAGTATTTTGTAGTGGCCCATTCCTAAAAATGTAAAATGTGTATGAATATTTTTAGGCCTGACAAGATAATATCGAAGATTTATAGCTGGTTATGGGAAGATTGCTAAGCCTCTTACTAAGTTGACTAAGAAAGAAGGGTTTAATTAGGGACCCAATGTAGAAAAGGCATTTAATTTGTTGAAGGAAGCTTTGGTGACAACTCCTTTTTTAACTCTTCCTAATTTTGATGAGAGGTTTGAAGTTGAAAGTAATGTCTCAGAAAGCGGAATTGGTGTAGTTCTTATACAACAAGGTAGACTAATTGCTTATTTCAGCAAAGCCTTGTCTGAAGGATAATTGGCTAAATCAATTTATGAGAAGGAGTTGATGGCTATGGTTCTTGCCATCCTACATTAGAGACACTATCTCTTGGGAAGGGAGTTCGTGGTTTATACGGATCAATGCAGCTTAAAACACTTGCTGCAGCAGAGAGTGGTTTTAACGGATCAACAATGCTGGGTGTCCAAGTTGTTAGTATTTCAATTTGAGGTAATTTACAAACCCAAACCAACTAATAAGGCAGCTGATGCCTTGTCTCGGAAAGAGGAGGCATAAAATTTAGCAACTTTGTCAATTGCAATTTGTTTCCCGCAGTGGCAGCAGTTCTCTACCATACAAAAAGAAATCATTCAGCACCTTATTCAAGATCCTAATTCCAGACCTGGATATGTCTTTAGGGGTGGAATCCTATATTACTATGGCAGATTGATACTCTCTGCTACTTCCTCTATGATTCTAGAATTACTACATGAGTTTCATTCTTTCCCTGCTGGGGAGCATTCTGGTTGGTTTAGAAATTAGAAGATGGTTAAGGAGTTTGTTTTGGCTTGTGACATTGGCCAACAACACAAGTATGAAGTAGTGTCTCCTCCTGGTTTTTGCAACCTCTACCAATCCCATCTCTGATTTGGTATGAAATATTTATGGATTTTATTGTGGCACTGCCAAAATTTAGGGAATTTGATGCCTTAATGGTGGTGGCAGATAGATTAACAAAATATGGACATTTTATTCCTCTGAAACATCCTTATACAGTCAAAAGGGTAGCAAAAGTTTTTGCCCGTGAGATTATTCATTTACATGACCTTCCTTCATCAATTCTCAGTGACAAGAATCCTATATTTGAGTCACTTTTGGCAGGAATTGTTTGCTCTCCAAGGCACTAAGTTATTGTTAAGCACTGTTTATCATCCTTAAACGAATGAGCAAATAGGCGTTGTTAATCGTTATGTGGAAGCTTATTTGTGATGTTTCGCTTTGGATCATCCTACGAATTGGTCTTTATGGGTTTCGTGGGGAGAATTATGGTACAACACAACCTTTCATTTGTCGATTGGGACAACTCCCTTTGAGGCAGTCTATGGTTGCAGCCCCCCTCCATTCCTAAATTGATTGACGAAGAAGTTCGAGTTAAGGCAGTAAGAAGGAAACTAAAAGATAGAGATGAAGCCTTTAAGCAACTTAAGGGTCAGTTACAAAGGACCCAAGAAAAGATGAAGAAGTATGTAGATAGGCATCGAAGGAAGTTGGAATTTGCAGTGGGAGATTGAGTCACCACTGGCATTCATAAAAAAATAGTTCCTTGATTTTTTGGTCCATACCAGATTTTGGAGAGTTGAAAATGTTGCTTACAAACTACAGTTACCTAGAACCTCTAAGATCCATCCTACTTTTCATATCTTTCAGCTAAAAAAGGCTGCTCCATAAACAGCAGTCGCTCACCACTAGCATTCATAAAAAAATAGTTCCTTGAGTTTTTGGTCCATACCAGATTTTGGAGAGTTGGAAATGTTGCTTACAAACTACAGTTACCTAGAACCTCTAAGATCCATCCTACTTTTCTTAAATCTCAGCTAAAAAAGGCTGTTGGGCAATATGATTCTCCTACTGAGCTCCCTATTGACTTATCCTCAGAGGACATGGTTGAACCTGCATGTGTTATCTAGCTGTATAATTTCAGCTGAAGGTAAGAAGGTTAAGCAGGTTTTGGTCCAGTGAAAAGGTCTCTCTATTGATGAAGCCACTTAGGAGGATGAATTTGTTCTGTAGAATCAGTTTGTACAGGTGAGCCTTGAGGACAAGGCTGTTTCTTTGGGTGGAGGTATTATTGGACCCATGGCAGAAGAATATATGATTGATACTAATAAGAGACCGTTTATGTTAGGAGGAAGGGAAGGAAAGAGTCAACTTCTAGTTAGTTGTTAATATGGTTAATAGATGCTATAAATAGAGTTAGATTCAGTATTAAGGGGACTTTTTGTTTTTCTGTAAATTCTGTTAGGGGAGAACTTAGTATTTGTACAGGAGCTGACAGTTCTGGGGGATTCTTGTAATCCTGATTCTTGCTAAAGAGAGCATTAACAATTGTCAATACTCTTCAGTCTTTTCTTGATCTTTCGCTTGAGACCCTAACATGTAATGTGAGGGTTAGGTTAAAAAAGAGGATAGCAAATTAACTTATAAATATATATAAAAAAATAACCCATTCCATTCCCATCCCATACCCCCCAAATAAGAGGGGAAGAAAAATATATAGTCCTGGTGAAATTTAATGGAAATGGATCATGTTTCATTCCATTCCATTGTAATTTAAATAGACAATTGTTTGCTAGAACTTCTAGCTACTGTTGTTGTATGATGATTATTCCACGGCTACCTCATTATTTGTCATTGTCCTGTTTTCTTCCATGACATATTATCAGCTAAAACAAAACCAGGTCAGTTGGTGAATGGTGACAATCACCAAAAAGTGTTCAAATCACAATATGAATATTCTGATTAAATAACTTCTGCAAGATCTTGCATTCTTTACTGTTACTTTTCCTAGTATTAACTAACTTCCTAAATTACATGCACATGTCCCCTAAACCTTTCCTTACTGCAGTTTTGCATACCCAAAAAAATTTTTAATAGTGGGTTTATATAATTGAAATATTGTGGGTTTATATAATTGAAATATTCTCATAAAAATTGTGTGGATTTGGTTCCTCTTCGGTTTCAGCCCTACAAATGCAACAAGCGACTGGTTATTTCCCTGAATCCTCTCCCACACTGTGGTTCAGCAATAAATACTGAGGCATCATGTGATACCTGCAGTAGAAAGTTGACTGACCCTGATGTATACCGCTACTGCTCCATTTCCTGCAAGGTAATGACTGTTATTTGACAATCACAACCATTTATTGGCTCCTGCAATCACACGCCTACCATTAAAATGAACTTTATAGTTAGTAGTTTCTGACTTTTTTTTAATCTGAACATTCAGGTCAAAGCTTTTTTGTGCAAGCCTAATGATTCAGTTCCTCCCTTCATTTCCCTCCAGAGTCCTCCTCCTCAGGAAAAACAGGAGGACGCTGCTGAACCCCAAAAGGTGCTAAACAAAAGAAAGGGAACACCCCGCAGAGCTCCCTTCTTCTAAGATCCTCAAGTGGGTCACATATCCTTAATTGGAATATGCAGGATAGGAAGAAATTCCTTCTTTTAAAGTTTATTAATCAAGATTGTGAACCTATTAAATTTTGTTGTAAGTTCTTAAATATTCTGGATTAGGTTCTTTTGTGGCATGTGCTTCCTTATTATCGTGTGGCACTACATCATGATGCTTTATAACATTCAGCTTTGCAGTTTTGTTATTGGTACTTGGTAGTTTGTTTTTTGTTTTCAGTTTTATTTTGAGCAGGGGTGGGAGTAGGATTTGGTGGTTGAGAGTCTTGAGACCGGAAAAAATAAATATCCTTCTGGCATTTTGGACTCTTAACACCCTGGATAATAATGTCTCTTGCATGTTAAAGGAATATAATGTGAACTGACCAGGTGACTGAGAGGACCTCAAGTCTTTAAATTCAATATTTTTGGAAAAATTAATTGATATGGAGAAGATAATAAGCATGCAGTCATGGTTGTAATCTCAGATACCTCCTAGATGTAGTTTTGTTGTGGTAATGGGAAATGTTGGAACCTACTTTACTTCCTGTTTGATCGAATGAAAGTGAGCTTAGTGATCATTGTATTGTGGAGGGTGATCCTAGTACAAAACTTGCTTTCTTATTATCAGTCTTCTGCCCATATGTGACTAAAGTTTGATCACTGCACTGGAGCATTATCCATGAACATCACACTGGAACTACTTATATATGCTCAAGTCTGCTTTTCTTGTGCTGGTTTGTGAAGTTGATGACTCAACTTTTTGCTACCATTGCTCTGCTTTTTTCAATAACTGATTAGAGTTATTGAGGAGAACATGTTAAACATTCAATCACTGCTGTTGATGCAGTAGTATCCCGGAAACACTTTCGACAAAGAACACGTCTTGATCAAGTGTATCTCCGAGTGCTAATTAGGTATGCTGATCTTCAACTCTGAAGTTACATAACAATTTTTAAAAATTGAAATCCAAGATGGTTTATTTGGATGAGAGGAAATAAAATATGAATATCAATGCATTTTTTTTGGTAAAGAGAAAATGGAGAAAAAAATTGACTTTTAGAAGTTAAAAAATTCATTTTTTTTCTCCTTTAATTTTTTCTTTGATTTAAATTTCAAAATTTCCTCTCTCCTATCATTTTCTTTAGTCTGGAAGAGAGGGTAAGAGTGTTGTGCAAGTCCATCGGTCCATTCAAATGGATAAATAGTAGTTTCTAAATATACATATGCTATGTAATAATAATAACAATAATAAAAAAAACAATATATGCTGTTCACACACCGTTTTGTGTTAATTACTTTTACACCAGTGTTGACGTGCAAATATTTGGTGATTAGTGCATGTGTTCTGTAGTAAAATGCATGCTGATAACCAATTAATTTGCCCATTGGTCATCCGTGTGAAATTGATATGCACGTAACGGATCATTTTGGTCCCAGATGCGTGCCGTCGACCAATAATGTCACAATTAGTCACTTACCTAATTCTTTGATGAAAGGATTTAGAGGAAAATGGTCTTTCTTTATTTACAATCTAATCTAATTGCAATAGTAATAGTTCAGAGAATTAGAATGTTTGATCAATATTAGTGTTATTAACAAATCCATTTAAAATTCAAATCTTATGATACTTAATACGTATATGGATGTTTATAACAACACACTTTATACTGGTTTATCTTTTATTCATGTACTGTGATTCAATCCAAAATCCATTCATTTGTCAATTCTTTCAAGTTGAGGGGGATATAGATCCCTCAGCAATGAAATTTCACTGTACCAAATTTAGTGATATATTTCTAACCATTGTATATATATTATTTTTAAAATAAAAAAATTAATTATTTTAATGGTCAAGATCCTCTACATCAATGTTATTGCAAAGGATCCTTCCATTTTCTAGTTCTTTTTCCTTCACAAAATTGAATGCTTCAAATCAGCATAAGAAAATAAAGCTCAGAAACTGAACGTTTCAACTTTCGAATCACCCACCAAAAATGAACATTTCAAGAAGTATGTTAACACACCTTACTACATCTCATTAACAGAAAAATGTGTGAAAAGAATGAACAAATGAAATGAGAACAGAAACAAGTATCCTAAGCAACAGATGTTTCAATAGTATTCAAGCATTTAGTAACCATACCCATACTCTAGTAAGTGGGTAGGTTCTGCTGCAATCAGAAAAGAATCACTACAATCCATACCAACGCTGGTTTCTACCCTTGAGGGTACAAGTGAATCACAGCATCCAGTGCACACAAACAGTGGTGGCACAGTCTCAGAATCATCTATGCCACTGCAGCGTGTATGCTGCCACACCTCACAAATGTCACAAGCCACCATTCTCTCCCCATCATCATCTTGAGCTCCACATTCACATCTCACCTTCCAGTTGTCAGCACCACCCTGATACTTCAATGGGGTACATAAATCTATAGCAATGCCCCTCACACAAAGTTCCACACCAGATTGGATTAGTCCAAAAAGCACTTCCTCATCATCCGCAACCATCAGTTCTGAAATGTCTGTCACTATGAGCCTTTCTGCAATACAATAAGTGTCCCTCAAAGCAGCCTCAGCAGCTTTCTTCAAGTCCCCAACTGTTGCATGCAATGGAACCACTACAACCTCACCACATGGTAGACCTTTCAATTCAGATTTGATGTCCACAAGATTTGGTTTCAAACGGCAAATAAATGTCAATACTTGCTCCATTTCATCAGTTAATGGCCACTCCTTCACAAAGTGCCTACTGTCTAGGATTGTCTGAACTGCCAAGTCCACTGTTTCTGAATCTGGGTAACCCAAAAGCACATTCTTGTACAAATACAATACATCACTGTAAACATCACTACAAGGCACCCAAGATGACTCTACTTGTTGATCTACATGAGCCATTACCTCATGCTCCTGTTCAGCGGCCTTGAACCCCTTACCAAGCTCATGAATAGTGTATTCTAGGATTCTAGTTGATGGATTTACCATGCGGCGAACAACATAATTCCCAACAATCACATTGTTCAGTGATTTAAGTACGTAGTCAAGTAAGCCTGTGTCACCAATGTGGAGCCTAGCTGCATCTCTCACATCTTGTCTTGTCATTCCACCTGAGCCTGATTTCACAGCCTTGTTCTCTTTCAGTGCATCCACAATCACTTGAGCTGCAAACTCTAATCTCCTTGTGGGCCACCTGCTATCCATGTTGGCCACAGCAGTGCTGAACTTCTTATACCTCGCAGATTTCTCCTTCAAAGGATTTGATCTGCTTGGAAGTGTTTGTTTGGTTGAATTTCTTGAGATGAATGCTGTAGAAGGAGAAGCAGAAGCAGAAGAAGTGATTGTTATCTTAGACACAGGAGCACGAGAAGACTTGACAGTAAGCATAAACCTGAGAAGATCCCTGATTGAGATGATTTGAGTTTCACTCATATCTCTGTAGCAGCGAATCATTTGTTTGATTTCTTTATGGTACTTTGTCTTGCTCAAATCTTTTACTATCACATCAAGCTCTAACGAACCAAGAGTTTCAATTGCTTCATAATAGTTTTGGTCTGTCACACCAAAGCTTCCACGACAAAATCTATATCCCCACCTACCAAACCAAGAGTGTCCATAAGCTACTCCATGCAGTAAGCGAAGATCCATAGACCTCTTCCTTGAAACATCTTCCACTGCTATTTTCCTGCCATACAAAGACAATAGCTAGATAAACATTGACTATTGAACATTCAAAAAATGTGAGTCTTAACTAGGATCAAGATGAGTAATAAGTTGCTTTTTTCATTACCTTGCTCGGAGATTGGTGCAAATCCTGTCCCAGAGATCCATGATCTCTCTCCCACTTAAAACTTTGGAACCCCCTTCAGTACCATTAATACAAAGCAAATGGCCATACCCATTACAATGAATCACTCCATGCAAGAGATGACTCTGATTATCAAGAACACCTTCACCTAAGGGTTTATGCCACCCATTGTCCATTGGTATTATGAAATGGTACCTTCTTTTTGATACAAAATGGCCACTCCAACCTATCACATATCAATCATTAACCAAACAAAACCACTTATTAGCATCAATATCAATAATAATAAAAATCATCAAACTTTCTACCAACCCTTTTCAAGAATCACCAATCAAGTCCACGCCAGGTATATATATATATAAAACCCAACATTGCAAACAAAAGACGTCAAAGAAAGCACGAGTCTTTCAACAAAACCCTTTTCATGACACAAACAAAGACACAAAACTCAAGCATACCCAGTTCAAAAAAACAAACTGAAAAACCGGAATCGAACCGACCCAGTTCACGAATAAGTAATCGAACCAACCCCAAGAGGCAAATATTCGAAATTGATAACGAACCTACACAGCGGCAGTGATCACAGAATGGGTGAGAAGAGTGGTAAACGTGTTCTTCGAGGGTGTAAAGAGGAGCCATTAGGTTGGTCTTGTCATGGATGAGAAGGGTACACCAAAGAGGATTACCCAACACATCGTAATCTTCGAGTTCTCCAGCTTCTTGAAGGAAAAATCGAACGTTGTCGCGGAAGGAACCCGTAGGTGAAATGGGGCAACCAGGGTCACCGAAAGAGTGCAACCTGAAGATCTTTGGCCATCGTTTTCTCTTCTTACAGGCCTCGATCAGAGAAAAAGACATGGTGGGTTCTTGTTGATGGTGAAAAAGTGATCAGCTTCGATCTCTGATCTTCGTTTCGTTCTCACTCTCGCATCGTGTTTTCATGCACACAACAAAGCTCAATGCAAGATACATTACGGAGAAGAGACAGAGAGAGAGGGGGAGGGAGAGAGAGAGAATGGTTTAACTGAAAACTGAAACTGATTCTGTTAATGGGTTTTGCGCGCTTTTAAAAGTTGAATTGAATTGAATAGAATAGAATTGCCTTTGGGGGCATATTTGTCATTTCATTTGTTTTGAGTAGTGTTCATTGAGAAGTGTGGATCAGTGAACGACTAGAGAAGTAAAGTCAATGGTCAAATTCTAATTTCGTCCAAGTTCCTTCATGATTACTATTTTAGACCGACAAATGCGATTAATACATTTTATATTTTAAAAATGCATTTTACGTATAAAGAAAAATAAAACAAGTAAAATAATATCTCATTATTTGAATATCACAAAAATCATCATTATAGGCGTGATGATACAATTTCTCTCTTATTTTTTATATTAAAATATCTTTAAAAGATATTAGTTTCCTCGATAAGATCATTTTAAAAAATTAACTCGAGTCTAAAAAACCAAGAAAAATAGTAATGACTATAGATATTTAAACAAAATAGTAAATAAATTCTGACATATATAAGGGTTGTGGATATCATATTTTTTGGTGAAATAAATTTTGAGTTATAAACTTAACAAATGACTTCTACAAGTTGTGCTAAAACATTATTGACAATCTAGATGGAAAACATAGTTCAATGGATAGGAATATTAAATCAATCTTTACTTAGTAAATGTGTGCTTTCCTCAAATAATTTACTTATAACACCCAAGATAAACAACGCCTGATATATCCTTTCTTTCCTAAATTGTATTGTTGATAAGATCAACAATCATATTATTGACATAATTAAAGCACCAACAAAAGAAGTACATATCTTATCATGTACATATTATATCGTCAAAAGTGATATCACTAAAAGAGTTAATTTTTTCACTACCAAGTAACAATAAATTTTTTTAAAAATTTAAAAATATTTATCATGAAACATTTAATGAATTACCTCAAATTTTATCATAACCTCAATAAGAAAAAGTCACAATCCGTATCATTGATATTAATTTAAAAAATACTAGAGTAAAAATATTATCTTAAATAAATAAATTATAAATGAATAAAATTTCTTTTTTCACTATATTCTATATTTTAAACAATAAATCATTTCATCTTTACACAAATTCCCTTGCAATGCACGGATATCTTATATTATTACGTTGAATTTTCCACATGCTTATGCATTTGAACAACGTTAGGAAATTTAAAACTTCCACAAAATCAACATTGAAATTCTGAGATTTGGTAGGGAATTACTTTGGTATTAATATATATGTGTCGGGGCGTGAGAGTGTACAAAAAACAACGTTACTGTAAGAAATGTCTTACTTTCCAAGTCACAAGGAAAGAAACTTCTTGCTGCTTGGAATTTAAATAATGATATTATTCTAATAATCAATGAATTGAATATGCAAGCCTGAGGAGTCTTCCTTTCTACTAGCTTTCTTATCACGCCAGAGACTTTTCATTAGGACTCCACCATTATAAATTTGGCATTCTACACTCTACTATGCTTAGAACACCAAAAAGCTTTTAACTTGAACTTGAATTTGAACTTGGTTGAGCAATTAGCCATGAATATCATCAAATTGGGGGGACTTGTGTGCTCAAGCTTGCCTCTGTTGATCAGCTTTATGGAATCCATAGCTCAATTTTTAGTTGCTGCCACTGCTTCTCAATCACACTTCAACATGGTGTCCGAGGAAAATAAGGTGATCAACAAGAAAGAAGGTGAATCTAACACTTCTAATGTGGCAGCCCAAAAGCACTTTCGGCAAATTCAACGCACATGTTAAGAGGGTATCGTGGATTAAGGGTAATAGAATGTTTTGTTAATATTTAATTTGGAGGCATATCTATTTTCTCTATTAGTTTTGTTCGATTAAAAAAAGAAAAATTGGGAAGAGTGTTCTCCAATCTCTGCTAAGAATCTTAGTATGTTTTGTCACTACATGTCAACCTTAGTCGATTGTTGTTTGAGTGCTTCTTGTAACATGTTAGTTGATTGTTTGGTATTTTGTTTTTTGGGTGTGCAAGAAAATTCAGTACTGCCTAGTGGCGGCTGGTACAAGTCGTGTTGAAATTCAAAATCAAGTGAGAGTTACATTCACAGACAGAACAAAAATGGGTAAATGTGGACCATAAATTGTTATTCTGAATAATAATGAATATATAATACAAAATATTATATTCTTAATAATGATAATGAAGTTAAAACTTAATAACCACTCATAAGTAAATACGTTCTAAACAAATCATAAGGAATTTCAGACAACAAATTCAGGATGGTGTTGGGACAATGATTCGGGTCCTTTACCTTAACCTAGTGTATGTTCCTGTTTTCTCCTGAGGTCTAGCTTGTTAATAAGCTCAATTCAGAACCAATACTGAATAGAAAAATAGGTAATTAACACCAAGTAAAATAGGAATCACTGCATAAGCAACATTTTTTTATTAATGAAATCCATAATAATGTAACTAACCCTAAAGGGAAAGATTTGGCTGGAGACTGCACCATCTTGTTGAGCAGAAATACATTAAGATTTGACGATCTGAGTTAGTTGGAAATGATTGGATTAAAATGTAAGTGTGATATTCAACCTCCTCATGTATAACTCGTATATTAAAGATGAGATATATAAAAGAAAAATCCCTCCCATCCAAGTGGAGACTCAAACGCCTCATTACTAATTATAGTAAAGTTATTGAATGGTTTGAAATTAATAAGTACTGTAGATCTAAATTCTCTCACACTAAGGTGAGAAGTGGACGTCCAATTTTATTTTGGTTCAAATAATAAACTTAAAAAAATGTATAAAATGACTAAATTTGATTAAACAAGTTTAGAATTCAAATTTTGAGAGGAAAGGATGCAAGCGGAAGAGCGGGGTTGAGTGGGTTTGGTGGAAGTGAGTGTGGGGTGGAAAGAGAGGTCCTTGAGTATGGAGGGATAAGGGAGAAAGTGAGGGAATTGTACATGAGAGAAGGGAAAGAAGAAGGTTAAAGAAAAATAGTTGGATACAGAAGAAGAAAAAGGGTGGGGATGAGAGAGAAAAGGGAAGTGAAAAATTTGCTTAAAAAATATTTTATAATTTTTTGTTTAAACAAAAATAGAATTCAACATTTAGTTTTTGCATATCGGATAAGATATGAATACAGTTTAAATATTTTTTTATTAATTAATAAACATATGGTCAATATCATATAGTCTTAAATCATCAAATAATTTATTTTGCCAAGAGTGACGTAAATTGATATATGTTAAATCAAATTTATTATTATACTAGTTAAATTAATATCTTAACTACGTTAAATATCACTGAAATAATATGAATTTAGACACAATTTAATCAAAGTCCAAATCTTATGAATCAAGAAAGCAGAAAAATTGATTAAAAAATAGAATTTCTTTTCCTCGAAATTTCTGACTGAGTTATAGAAAGAAGTTGGAAGTTGATTAGCATATTTATATCTATTTCCCCAAGAACAATGTAATTTTATTTAAAAAAAAAAAAAAAAAAGCAGGACCTTGCGTCTTCATTTCTCCGCCCCATTATATTATACTTTGTGTGTAAGTAGCGTTAAGATTAAATGATTTACTTTGGGATTCCTTTGAAACAATGTTATTTTATGTGGGTTAATTATCATACGTAGCAAGTTTACTAAAAAACCAGATTAAACTGGATAGTAGCTAATCCATAAATTAAGCAGTTTTATTAAAATGTACTTTTTGCAAACCAAGTAAAAAGATTTTTTTTTATTAATTATTTAAAGAAAAATCATTTTTTACTTCGAATTAGTATGCTAACAAATCCGTATATTGTGTAGTAAAACCCAGTTGTTAAACACTTACATGGGTAATGAATGACCAATAACATTAGCGAGCTGAGCTTTGACGTGTGCCACAACTAACAGCTACTGGTGAGTACCTTATTAGCACGGACTGTTTTAAATGGTGCGGTTGAAGCACATGCACATTATTTGATCTTAGTTACTCTTGTGTTTTCTCACATGACACGTCACTTCGGTACGGTTAAATAATGTGCTCGTTTCTAGAAAGAAGATGACATCGCAAGAAGGCACATTATTATATTGATTTTTAAGAGCCATGATATGGAGGCCTAATTCGTTTCATGCACTAAATACAGCTTCTGACCATCCTTAATCATACCCACATCAGTAATTTTTCCAGCATCTTCGGATAAAATACAAGAATTGCCAGAAAAATCTGTGTGTTCTGCTGCTGTTTTGATTAGCTCTTCAATGGTGTGTGGAACCCATAATACAATTCCGTGTCTTCTATTATCTTTTGGATCCCACGGGTGGAAAGAGAACATTGTGCACTTCTTTGGGTGCATTTTATCTGAAAATGGTAGACGAAATTAAGGTTTGAGTTTACAGCAACAAGTGATCTAGAGTATAGAGAATAGAGGAGCAGACATGACAAAATAAAGTGCTTGTAAATTGGTATAAAATGTTCGTCTTTAGTCTGCTAGCTCGGCATGCATGGGGGAGAACAAGATGCAAACCATTAATATAACTGCTTGCACATCATGTTTGACGGGCAATATGTCGATAACCCAAAACATAAAGGAACTATATAATAAAGTTGATCACAATAATAAAATTTAACATGATCTACCGAAAAAAAAAAACCAACAAAATTTAACATGACATCGAAGTAGAGAACTATGTAAAAGGGGGAAGAAGTAAGACACTGATAAGATGCAAGGCTATGTAACAATACATGTTGGTCCATTTTATGAAATTCTTGGGGATTTTCACACTAGGATGGAGGAGTTAATCTGTCTAAATTGCTACCTAGCCCATTATACTACACTTTCTGCTACATCTCAGGAAAAGAAAAAAGAAGGGTATTCAGTACCTGTAAATTCCTGGGAGGGATATGGGAATTCTGACAGTTGAGCAGATTTTGCATCTTCCAGTAGCTTGATCAAATTCTTATTTCCACACATCCGGGCTTCATCGACCGGGGTATTTCCCCATCTGTTTGTAGTGAAACGGAAAGTTTTGGTTATGCAACTTTAGGGTAATAATGAAAAGGAAAGAAACAAATTAGTAGAAAATATATTCTTAAGAGTTCAGCAAGACTTTTGAAATTATATTTTACTGATAATAGATATGTGTGATGGACTTGGTTCATCTTATTTATACTAGTAGGGTGCGAATAAGGAAAAGGAAAACTAGTTGGCAATTTGGCAGCGGACAAGGGAGTTCAATCATCAATAATCGAGGGAAAAAGGCTGAAACAAAAGGATCTGAGGCCACATATCAACAGGCCGGTGCATTTTTGAGGTTGCCCACAAGAATAGATCAGTCTAAGCAAGGCAGTATCGTACAAGTGATCAGTTGACAATCTGTTGACCGCAATGACTGAGTACGTAGCGTGCTTGATAAAATGAACAGAAAAACATACTAATGCCATGTTAAAATTCTGTTATGGAGTTGTGTCCAGAATATGAAAGAAATGCAGGGCAGCAAGCTTCTAGTTGTTTTCACTAGACACCGAAATGGGTGCATGCATCCGGCGCCAGGGTCAATTCAAAAGGTTCCCTACCTTCATACACCAGTCACATCAGCATGAACATGCAAAATGAGGGATGAAAGATACCTGTCTTTGGTAAACACACTAGCTCCGGCTTCTAATAGCAACTTTGCCATGAAGTATAAACCTTCAGCTGCAGCAACATGAAGAGGGCTTCGGTAGTCGTAATCTTTCAAGTTGGGATCCAAGCCATTACATAAAAGTCTTTTAAGAAAATCTGAATCTCCCCTCGCAACTGCTATACACAAAAAACTACCAGCATTTTCTATCTTCATAGAGGCCCCTTCTCTAACAAGTAAAGAAGCAACCCGATCATGTCCATTCTTAATTGCTTCAAGTAAGGGTGTGTTCCCGAAGTTATCTATAAAATTGCCGAATAATGATCTTTGAGTCGGCACAAAATTTATGTCCGGTAGCAATCAATATTGCAGATGTTAGACAATTACCTCTAATATTGACGTCTACTTTTTCTTGAATAAGGAAAAGTGTGATGTCTTCATATCCTCTAGATGCTGCAAGATGCTATCGGAAAAAAGAGGTTTGTATCAGGCAAGCATTTCTCATAACAGAATCCTTGAGTTTCTGAGTTAATTACAAGAGACATCATAGATGAAGAAAAAGCATAAGAATGATTGCAAGACATCATAAGAAGTAGCAAGCTCCTTACCAAAGGTGACCTTCCATCATAATCTGTCTTGTTGGGATCAGCTCCAGCTCGAATCAAACCTTTTAGTTGATACAGATCCCCATTAACAGCTGCACTATTGACCTTCAAAGCAAGCTCAGCTTCTTGCTTTCCAATATGAAATGTGATGTCTGACTCCAATTGCTTACCTCGAAAAGACTCTTTTGCCTATAAAGTATGGAAATTTTAGCTGTCTCATGATCAGATATGAATTAATTACAATCTAAATGTGTAACTTGACACTCCACTAGAGGGAGGATGATGGGAGAAATAACATATGTAACATTATTACCTCTAGAAGGTTGTTTAATACTTTCCTTCCATCATAGAAGTATATATCTAGGATATTTGTAAATGATTGTTTATCAAGTCGCAGGAGCCTACACAGTTCACAAACACGGACAGTATATGGCTGAGGAATGTTGCAAAGAATAGATATTTCTCCAAATGAACTGTTAGGCTCCAGAAGTGAAACAGTTTCTTCAGACCCATCCTCAGCTATGCCTACTTCCTCCTGCATAGCAACAGCTTCCGGTATTCAACAAACATAAATTGAAATTCATCTTCCATGGAAATTTTTTGACGAATTAGTTCTAAAATTCTACTAAAAAGCTTCCTGTTTGACAACCTACTGAAGATACGATGAAGCATATTTAGAAGATTCTCAGACCCGCTATTCATGTGATACAACACTTTAAGGTGATAAAATAACAAAGAAGTCAGCATCACCCAGCATGTCCCAGGCTTAAAAAGATATGCATACCAGCATTCTATAATTTAAATAACAGAAGCTATAACTAAAATATCAGAAATCTAGGAAGAAGAAAAAAAAATTGAGCAATTGCAAAAGTGGTTCCAGAAATATAAAACCATACCAGCACACCATGACAGACAAAATAGAGTTGATCTACAACATTTCCTTGTTCCATTATAACTTCCCCTGGAAGAAAGAACTCCTCATGCAGCCTAATAACCTGAAAGATCAAAGGAACAAATTATTATCACTTCAACATCCCATATGTAGAAAAGGATATTGGACAATCATGAAACATAGGTACATTTAGTCATATTCAATCAATGGAAGAGGCCCATGCGAGTAAATTTTTTTATCAACATGAAGTTCAGTCTTAAAGTAAAAGTGGCTACTTCAGTAATGGGTTGGTAGAAATATGTGCAAAAGGAACAGGCCTTTGTCCAGTTAGTATTCTTCGTCCCATCAAGTCTTTCAAGGGTGACATAGCTGTTGATTACATAGATTACAGAGAAAACAGCAACTGAAATCTACAGAAGAACTTAAAACACTGATAACCATTTCCGGTTTACCAGAACGATCAATGGAAAAATAATATACATGTTCCGGTATTGAAGTCCATACAGCAAAAAATTACTTTTCAAATAGAAAAAAGCAAGAAAGTGCTGATCCTCTCAGTTTTAGTTGTAATTTGCAGACTATAGATAAACTACAAAAGGAAAAGAGAGCTATGTGCACCAAAAATACAGATAACATTAATTCCATTTCATGTTGCATGCCAGGCAATGGAAAAATGATTACTTACGATCTGATTAACGAATTCTGAAGAACACCCTTTAAAAAGAGAAACCTTTTCAATGCATGGCAAATATAATGTTTGGGATATCTGCAAAAAGTAATTAGACCACTACATCATTCAAGACCAAAATAATTGAAACATAAAATATATCCTACTCCAAAGACATAAATTCGAAGTGTATACTAACTGCTTTATTCTATTATGAGACTATGAGTAATCTCTTTATTTCAAATATAAGCATCTTAGTGCTCCCAAAAATAAACAAAATAGAATGAAAAGGGGAATGTTCAAGCTCATATTCTTTAAACATGACAAAAATACCTAGAAAAGCAGAAAAATTATATACAACACATCAACATTGAAAATGTCACTATAAGAAGTGACCTATAACTCCAGTACAAAATTTGAGACAGGGCAGAGTCAAAGGAAATAAACAGAAAACATGCTGCAAAAAAATTAAGGAAATGAATAGGTTAAGACATAGAGCAATCAGGAAAGTGAATCAGTCCAACACTATATTGGGATCATTATTAATTTTCTGATTTTACAATAACTGAAAGTGGAACTTCAAATGATCATACTTTAATCTACTGTAATTTATAAGTGAATAGCAGGAGAAATAAACGATATAACATGCCAGCCCCTTGGAGCCTACAATTGTATCCTATAGCGATGATTTTCGTAACAGACCATAAATGAGGTTCAAAATTCTCTTTTTACTCTTATTACCTTAGCTCGAATAGAAATAGGGATATCCTGAATGACAGCAGCCTCAGTGTAGCTACTCTCATACTGTAAGCGTACATGGCCTTTTATTTGGTCACGGATATCCCTTCCAAGTCTATTTCTGTTCATATATTTCATAAGATCTGTCATCTTGTCCCTATACTTTTCAGTCTTAGATCCCTTAACTATCAAAGCTGTCATGTTACCAATCAAATAAGCACCAAGAACCATGTCAAACGACACATATATCATTATGAATATCATTTCCCTCATATTTACTGCATGTATATCTCCATAGCCTGCGGAAGAAAAGAATGTCACGAACACGATTCATTCAGAGTAACTTTCAAGAGAGACAAGATAGTGAATACATTTTGCAAAGCAATCTTAGATACAGAGATCTATGAAAAAATTACACGGATCTATAATGTATAGCCCTTTATCATAATTAGTATCAGTTCTTTTATTCGTTACCAGCCTAGAAAAAGTTCAACAGATACAGACAAGGTATCAACTATGTCAGATGACAACTAAGGTTCCACCAAGCCAGTAATCTCAAAATAATAGGAGCTTTACTGGTGCTTTAGAGATTTGCTCTGTGAAAAAACAGTGGCTGAGGTTTTGTTGCTTTATTTTTCAAAATTCAAAGCATCAACACTCAAGGAACTGTGACAAGTTTACAGCAACAACAGTCAACCCTTACCCTACTAGCTTGGATTGGTTACAAGGATTAAACCATCCAGTTGGGCTCTAACGAACACCAAATTATCCCTAAATCTATTTAATTTGGAGTAATATCTTTTCTAATGGTTGCTCCTGCACAGTAATCCTCTAAACCTTTAATCAGGTTATCTTCTATTTTTTTTCCAATTAGAAGGGCTAAAAAAAGGGTCATTGATCCATGTCTTAAAAGATTTTTCAAAATTTTAAATTGGCTACCAATTACCTCACACGATCCTCCTATTTTATGCGGACTTATGACCGACAATGTTATTATTGGCAACATATGATGACATAGGCAGAGTTACGATAACTAATGACAAACAAAATGAAAATCATTTGGCTTTGTGAATTAAAAGAAGTACCAACTGTAGCCATTGTAACAATAGCGAAATACAAAGATGTCGTGTAGCGCTTCCAAAGATCAATTTCCCTGAAATGTGAATAACTGTAGTCACCCAGTTGTAAACTTCCTATCCACGTGTACCCCTCTTGGGATTCAGGTAGTGTAGTAGCCAAATAGTAAAAAATGCAGGCTGCTGTGTGGGTGCAGTAGAGTTCAACCACTATCAGTTTCACAATCCGAGTAATAATGTAATTCACACGAATGTCCTTCTCCAACTTGTGGAAAAAATCTGTGACTTTCCGCACCCGATATAATCTGATCCACAAAAGGTACCTTACTTCCTCTCTTCGACCACAAGCCTGTTCATAAAAAGTTATCCTAGTGGTTAGAGTAAAAACCATGAACTGAAAGACTTCAATAACAGGGAAACTGCGACAGACCCAGACGTCATAACAAAAAGCTGTTAACATGTTAGCATACTGTACAGTTAATGTCTCAAAACCACAACCAACACAAATTTTAAGTTCTTAACTTGTGCCTAGATAAGTTGAACAATAGGTCATACAAGAACAAAATTCTGACATTTAATAACAAGCTTCACCACTCGCACTAAGGTTATGTAAACACGATTTAACACTCAAGTCCCAAAACTTGAGCACCAAGTAAGAATTTTATTCATGTAATTGACTTGCATAATGGTTAAAAATGAAACTTAAACACAACAAAAGGACAATGGTCCATGCGACATTGCTACAAGAGGACAAACTCCCTATATCAAGATCTAGAAGACATCAAGGAAATGTCCACAAAAGTTCCATCACCATATAAAAAATAAAAATAAAGATGAGATCTAAAAGAGTATAGGCTATAAATGTATAATAACTTGATTTAATTATCCCAAATCTTATGTACAGATAACCTAGAGCACAAAATAAAACTTCCATTGAAAGTTGAGGAAGAAGTAAAATGAGAGCAAAGGTTTCTTGTAACAATTTCATTTTATTGCAATAACAATAATCAAGTCTTATCTCACTAAGTGAGTTGGTTATATAGATCACCAATGCTACTAAGCTCAGTCAAAAGGTAAATTCTTTTGCAAACTGAAAAATATGCTAGACGCCCAGAACTAATGTGAAATGTAAATAGCATGATAAAACACTAACATATAAGTGATGAAATTATAGATTCTGTTGGATGCTTGGATTAAATAGGAAAGTAAAGAGTTTCCAACAATTTTTAGAATCACGAGTCAGAGACGGTCAAAACAATTCAAGGTAAGCAATATAGGAGCTCAAGAAATTTGGGTTAATGTGGAAGAAATATAACCTTGAAGATGATGTCCCACGGCATACATCCAAGAAGATCAAGGATAAAGCCAGATTTTACGTACCTACATGAAAAGAAACATGTAAGCCATAAATCAATTAAAAAAAGTTCACACCCAAGAAAAGCCATATGCTATGCCATTTCAGTCCGAAAAAATATCAATTGCCGACTTTCCCAATGACCAAAACACAGGAGCATCTTAAAAGCTAAAGTTAGATAGTTATAAGCATTGGTGATCATGGCGAGAAGAACATCATTCAAGAGGGGAAAGAAGAGTAGAACATTACCGCAGAGCAATATGGGTTCGCTTGTGGACCATACGATAAGTCTGACTGTCTCTAAAAGCAACAAAGAACTGCAAAACAATGTCCACAAGGAAAGCTATTTGTCCAATGATGTCCAGTATAAAGAGATTCTCAGGAAGGCCACGAAAAAATCCAAACTCCATTGGGGTGAAGAAGGATGAATACACTGCCCATAGCAATATGAATTTAGTCCAAGCCCGATACCACCTGAAGTTTCCATCAAGATAAGAACATCGAGCAGTTTAGTCTTTTCCACTATTTGCAGCAAAGCATTTAATTATCAGTACTTGTCTTAAATAAGAGGTAAGCCGTAAGATCCAACATAGAATAGTGTTTTGAATATATGAAGCAAGGCCATTAACTATTTCAGCTTACAAGCATCAGCTGAACCAGTGAGAGATTTTGAGTAATTTATCAAGTGTTGCTCTCAGCCTCTTGCATGGCCCGTACTTACTACATGCATTTTACTCGTGGTCAAGTGAGCTGGCCCCATGTTCAACATAAATGACGAAAGTAACATTGTAATAATCGATTCTTTTCACTCCAAAAGCACCTTATTTTTCCCACTTCTCATAAATAGAACCTATATAATAAACGAATCGATAATCCAAACAGTGTTTTCCGAGTCTAAATTTTCCCATCATAATTTTACCTTTTTCTATTATGATATAATCATATTATTTAAAATATAATGAAATTACAATATAACTTCAAATAATATAACATTATCTCTCGCTGTTAAAATACAATATAAAATCATCAAAATGATACTAAAATAAAATATTATAATACTAATAGGCATACATAGTACAGAAAGAATAAAAAACAATACTTTTAGATGTAATATTGTATAATTTAAAATGTAATTAATCAATAATATTCTTTTATTTTCAAAATAATATCATTAAAATATAATATTATTAAAATTACGATCACTATAATAATGTTATTATAAAAATATTATAAATAATACTTCTACGATAAATAAATAAGCAAATTATATAAATTAAAAAATAATTATCAAATAAAATTTTAAAAAAATATCTTTAAAATATAAAGTCAGATTTTCATTTCTGGTTATATTTCTTAAGTAAAAATAATAGAAGTTTTTAATAAAATGAAATAAAGCGTACCTTATGTTTTATTCTATTCCATCTTAGTTTAAATAATTTGATTAATAAAAATAAAAAATATATTTTTTGTTAAAAATGGTTCTGTTCAAAGTGGATAAAATTATCATGAGAGATAATCAATAACATTCAAATTCAAAATCACAACTCAAAGTCCAACCTACATGTTAAAACAAAATAGTCTTTTATCAGTTAATTTATAAGATTATTAAATAAATTTCATTTTCTCGTATTTTCTAAAAAGATTTGAATATTGATATTATTTATTCCTTTATTTTAATAAATTATTATATAATTATTAATGTTAATGTATAAGAAAACTATTATAAATATTTACTTTTCATTTGTAAATATGCGGGGTAAGCCACGGATGTAATCATAGGTTGATATTTAAACTAGATCGAATCTCATAAATTACTAAGGCTGATTATCAAGTAAATGCCAAACAAAATTCTTTTTAACAAAAGGTTGATTTTCAACTTTGCATAGTTTGGGCTTGACGACGCTTGTGTGTCAGTGCGATTATGCTTTGCTTACGAAACTTTGGCAACGGAAAGAAAGATTGGGCCTGTTAATTAGCAACTCCTCCCCGAATCCCCCACCCAAAACCTAAAGATATATCATTATTATTGAATACTTGACTAAAAAGAAACAGATATATCGTTATCAAATGCGCAGATTGAATGCGAAAGTTTTTCATGCTTTTAAAAACGTTTATAATAGAGACAAAACTGATACATCATCTTATTGCATAAATAATTAAAATAATGAGTGTCAAGTCATAGTATGTATAAATGTTAAAACGACGGGTGAAGGGGTGATTATCGTCTTTTAGAATCAGCGCTGAAATTTTTCTTGATGGAGCTTTTTTTGGTGGGATAGTGATGACTTTTTACACGATCTTCTAGACAATTTGTAATGACAAAAAAATTATTTATTAACAATATATATATATATAGAGAGAGAGAGAACATCAGAACTTACTAGGTAAAAACTCAAGCAATTTTTTCATTAGTTTGATAAATCTTAATTATTTATGTACGAGATTATTATTTTTTACTATTTCAATATTAAAAATAACTTTTTTTTTATTTGACATATTCATGTGTCGACACATTATATCTTTTGGTGATAGTAAGAATACTTTTGATTAATAGCTAAAGACTAATTGAACGGTAAAAATTACTGAAATCAATTATATCTCTTTCGGTGAAATAAATACCTTATATATGTTCAATTAGTTTAACTTTGTAAAATACAAACGGCAATTTATGCTACTTGATGTGAAATTAAAACTATTTTAAAAAATAACTTATTGATCAGTATTTAAAAACCATAAGATCAGAAATTGATAAATTATTTCTTAATTAAACTCATATACAATACTTAAAAAGTACATTAAAATTAAATTCTAATTAACATATTAGAATTAACTTTCTTAGGACAGATATTAAAATCTATCTAAATTAGCATTTTTCTAAAAAGGGGTAAAGTATTAGTAATAAAGTAGGATTATGATAAGATGGACAACAAAGCAAAATCACATGAATTGCGGGTCCAGCCAGCCAAACAAACAGCACATGCCCCGTGGCCTGAATGAACCAACCTTCATTTCAAACTTGCCGCCATTTCATCCAACCATAACTCTTGTTATTTTGGAGCGAGTGTTTAATTTTTTTACCTTTTATATGAAGAGAGGACCCAATGTTGTAATTAAGTAACTAATTTACTAACAGTATCTTAATTTTTAATTCAATAATTAGTTAATATTAAAGAGAATGAGAGAGAAGTTAAACCAAACCTGTTGTCGGGATGAATAACGAAGTCTCTGGAGAAGCCTCGGATTCCATGGAGAAGCGCAAGGCGACTGAACTTGGTCCATCTGGAGTTGAGTCCCAACTCGCTCTCTATCAAATCGAATCGGCTTCCTCGAGACGATTTCAACCGATCCCGCAGGTCCTGCACTTCGTACTCTCTCTCATCCGAAGAAGACGAGGACGACGTGGTAGATGACGAAGAAGAAGAAAGAGATCTCGAACACGACGTCGTTTGCTTCCCCTCTCCCTCTCCCGCTTCCCCTGACGCCTTCTTGTTCCCCGTCATTTCCACAAACACACGGATTATCTATCGATTAACAAACAATAATTACTCGCCTTTAAATGAACGCTTTGTATTTTGAAATGGATCTACGATGTCGTATAAGAAGGTGAAGGAGAGCCACAAATGTTGGAAAGGGAATGGGTCACGGGATCATGTCACGGGAAGAAGGGTTCATGTTTTGGGGGTTGGGATGATGGGTTTATGAAGATAACAATTACAAAAAATGACGGTTATGAAGAAGACGTAAGAATGAAGGGAATTTGTTGTGGAAAGAGGGAGAGACGACGCTCTTCAATGATCAATCTCTTTTGCTGTCAGGTCTCTTCCACAATCCCGCAGGGGGTGGACACCATTTTATACCTCCACATGCACGTCCACGCGCAAATTAAATACTCTTATTGCACTTAATTTCATTTTTTGTTTTTTTACATGTGTTCAACATTAATTAAAAAATAGTAATAAATAATCATTTTTATTATAATTATAATACTATTAATGGACTAAATTTTGCGTCATTTTTTTATTTCTTAAAAAAATATTAATTTCAGTCTTCAGAATTAAATATAAATACAATAATTTTTTAATAAAAAAAATTTTGTTTTTCTTTATAAGGAAATTTTTAAAAGTTTTAGTCATTCTTTTTTATAAGATATTTATAATTTTTATTAAATATTTATTATATTTTTATTTATTTTGAACAAATATTGCTGATAGAATCTAAATTAAAACTAATAAAAATAAAAGTTAATAGTAAAATAGGTTTAACGGTCTTAAATAAGAATAAAATAGCAATATTATAATATTTCAAAAAATAAAAATGACTAAATTTAACTCTTTTGATTGATTTATACAATTCATTTAAAGGTATTTTATTAAAAAAATAATATTATTTATTTAAATTTAGCTTTGAAAGTTAAAGTTAACGTTTATATATATAATTTAACAATTAAATTAATAAATCTTAGAGTCTTAGTAATGTATAATAATAACAGATAACGCTGTAGATCACTTGGACAAAAATTGCATCACATATAATTTATAGTTGAGTTGGACGATAGTTGTAAATGTGGTGACGAAGGATTGAAGAGAGCAGTTGATAAACATGTGTGCGTAGACAGTTGTACACGATCCATCACTCTACTCCACATGGATTTTTTTTTCGGATGTAAAGTATTGTATGAGATAAAAGACCTCATATTAATTAATGTCTCGGGTTCACTGCTTTGAATCAATCGCATTTTCAACAAAGATAAAGCATGCTGTCGTAATAATATAATTAATCAATCAATTGTCTTTGTCGTAGGATTTCTGTGCTGTTATTCATTGTTGACTTGTTGTTTCGTTTCTTCTTCGTTTTGGAGGACAACTAATCATATGTGAGTTCGTTTATCATATTTTCTAAAACAACCAAATTAATTTATTCAACTCAATTTTCAACCTACATAGTCCAAAAAACAAGTTGTTTTTGAATTCGTCATAGACGCTACAGTTTAAAACACCAAAATTCAATTTAGATTAATTTATACACGAACAAGTACTTACGAAATAAGTTAAGATTAGTTTATATATCTCAAATTTTAAATAAATTAAATGAGAGAAATAAGGTATATTATAGCTTTTCTGTTTTTACCAAACAGGGTAAAAATTTGTAAAGAGCCTTTGCCGTATAAAAACAAAATTTACGTGACTTGATGCTTAGCACATTCTAGGGGTTAGTGCACACAACCAGTGGCACTCTTCCACTGGCATTGCAATGTGTAGTATTAAAGTTCGAAAGATAATCATGGTTTAAATCGTTTTGGTTAATTGTGAGAAAACAATAATTAAGCTGTGTATGTATATGTTTTTGTCTTTCAAAATTTACTGTATTTTGATTTTATTTTTTATTCAATTATCATGAACTCTACTTAAAAACTAACATGTAAGAGTATTTAAAATAAAACATATTTTGAAAAATAAGAATATACTTAAACACAACATGAATTTAAGAACAAATTGATATTACGCATAAAATGGATCAAAGCGATCCTCATGGTTTTATCTCATTTGAGAATCACCACTTTATCGTCACGTAAAAACTTAGTTTTTTTTATAAGAACACGAGTAACTCTAATAATTAATATTTCCCTTTAAAAGTGAAACGAATTTAAAGTAACCACACTAATCTCCCAAATTAAGGGCTGGTGAACTTTTCGGCTGCATGACTTGGATAATTTGATTACGATGACGAGTAAGCAGCCCTGTGTGACAGATTTAAAGTTGAACAAATCCAGTTTTTCTTAATTAGTTAGTCTTTTTGAGGAATAATTAAACAAGTTAATGAGCAATAGATTTAGAACAAAGATTTGGAAGGTTTAGCACCACAACTAAAGTCCACAACAAAACAACATATGCTTAATTATAATTGGGAAATTTAGGTCTGTCGTCCACCACTGGCACATTTGAGTTGAAGAGTCGTGGGATTGGGCTATCCACTATCCACATTCCACACACTGATGACTGAATCCATCTTTCTGATCAGTTGTTTATGATATTAGTGCCTTCGCCACTTTACTCTGTGCACGTCATTTTGCTCTTAGTTTATTTTCTGCAATACACTGATTTGGCCGCGTGTAGCCCATTCTTATACATCGATCCACGTTTGGCAGTATATTTGGATTTACTCTTCCTTTAGTGTTTATTAATTATAGTTTTGCATTAGATTTGTATCTTTAGTGTTATTAATTATAGTTTATGCATCAGGTTTGTGTTTATAATTTTTTAATTTACTTTTTAACGCATACTAAATGTCTATATATAGCAAGGTAAATACTAAATAGGTCATTTTAAAGTTATTTAATTGATTTTAAAGTTTATTTGAACGAAGTTTAATTTAAATAAATTTATTAATAAATACTTATAAAAAGTTAAATATGTAAAAATTATGTTTTTATAAATTAAAATTAAATTATGAGCACTTTTAGAAAAGTTTTATTTAATATATTAAAAAACTGAAGTACATAATGTTGTAAGTTTATAAAGATATTTTAAATTATTTAAATTATAATGTATTTAAAATTTAATTATAATAAATGAATATTATTACTTGATTGTTTCTTTTGTTTTTATAATGTGCTTGGATTGGGGGTGAAAGATGAAATGAAACATAATAGGACAATGTTTTAAATGGTTTTATTGTTTGGATTGATCAAATGTTTATAGAATGAAGTAGTATTTAATGAGTTGAATTTCATCTATTTACATTCAAAATTTTCACTTTTGTTCCTTCGATTTAAAGGGTATGTGAAATGTGATGAAACTTTAATTTATTTTATTTTATAACTATTAAATTATCAATATGTCTTTAATATAAATGCATAAAGTTCTAAACTCACTTTTTTACTTATTTATATTATAGGATAATATAATTTATTTTGCTTTATTTATTGTCTAAACAACTGAATGAAAATTTTATTCTATATATTTCATTATAACATATTCAAACAATAGAATGGATATTTATTTCGTTATATTCTGCTCTATTTCATTCCATTTTGTTTTAAATGGATTGGTATTTATTACCTTATACTATTTATCAGTTACATTTATTTTCACTAATTATAAACTATATTTATTAAATATCTGAAATAACAACAACTTAATTACTTAAAAAATATATCCGTGTTTCATTTGTGGTTCTACCCTTTCTTAGTTCTCAAAAGTATTATGAGTTTTTTGTTCTATCTGTTTGTAGTTTTAAGAAATCTTTTTAAAGAGTGTTAAATTTTGAAGAAAAAAAATTACAGGCGAATAGATTATTAAGGATAATGTCATTTAACATGTCTCAAATTTTAATATTTTTAGCACACAATTTGATTATATGTTTAAAAATATTTAATCTAATTTAACGTGTCAGTTATTTTACTGACATCGTTAATCAGATTAATAAATTAACATGGTGGGGGACACAAAGCATAAATCTGCCAGAAAATTAGAAATTAAGGCTATATATACAACAAAGTGATTAACCAATAATGGAAATCTACTGTCATATTCCACATTCTATTTAACTTTTTTATTGACAATACTCAAAAGTGGGGATACAATTTCCGTGGATCCCACTATTTCTGGTTATCTCTCTTTCGAAAGAAAATTAACGAAAAAAATGATTTTGTGAGCTTTATCGCACATATGTAATATATTTTTTATTACTTACATGCATTTTTCTTTTTGTTTCAACCAAACAAAGATAAGCATTTATCTCTTCTTTTTCGATTAACGATATTAAACAAGAGGTGTGATAACTTTTGGCTTCTTTTCTTTCCCTTTGTACTTTTTTTTTAAAACGATGAAATTCCAAGTTTGCAGTGTACAAAGTATTAATTTAAGTGAAAAGAAAAGAAAGAAAAAGGACTTCGACACATACTGGTGAATGATAAAACTTAAACATCGTAGTCATGTACAGATCTTTTATCTTAATATATATATACACACTAAGATTATTTGAAATATTATTTTTTTAAAAATATTTTTTTAACTTAATTATATAATCATAAATGATATGGATTAAAATGATAAAGATTTAATAAAATTATAATAAATTTAAAATATAATTTATTTTAAAAATAATATAAATAATATATAAGTATTATTAATTTTATATGAACAAATATATTTACAGAAAATTTAAAAGTTTATATAAAATAACAAAAGAAAGTTAAGTAATAATTTTTATTTTTAAAACTTAAAATTAAATAAAAAAAAGTAAAAATAATTCCAAGTATAATTCATGTATTATTTTAAAATAATTTTAATCTTAAAAAATACATATGACAAGTTGAGTACTTCACTTCAATTGATTATTTGTAGTCATTGTTAACATTATTATTTTTTAAGTAAAATTGATATTTGATCTTAATAACTATTTTTGATTTAAATTTTTAAAAAATAATAATAATTTCAACGTAGAATATTAATTTAAATTATAATATATTAATAAATTTTATGATATAATGCTTAAATTTTGTTTTTTTATTAAATTCTATTATAAATTTTTATTTTGATTCTTGATGAAATAAATAGGAGACAGCCATTATGTAAATCATATAATATGTTTACATCTATTTACATTTAATTTCATATTTGGTTATAAAAGCAGGAAAAGAAAAAAGAAATAGGTTTTTTTATAGATTTTATTTGAGAGATCGAAGAAAGAAAAATAAAGAATAGTTGAAAAGTAAAGAGGGGAAAGAAGAAAAAAAGTTCTAATTTAAAATAATTTTAAAATATAAATTTATAAAAAATTATATTTAAAATCTATGAAATACAAATTATTTTTAAATGAAT